CCTCTGAATTATAGTGAGCCAGAGAGGAGAAGTTGCCCGCTGGCGCTGGCAATGAGTGTTGAAAAGTACACTCGCTTACACCACCACCACCATCTCACACCCCCCCCCACGCCCCAAAACCAAAATATCATCCCGGAATAAGAAAAGCAAAAAAGCTCCAAAAAAAAAAAGTAAATGAATGATCACTACGAGGGTCGAACTCGCGACCTTGGCGTTATTAGCACCTTGGATAATTATTAGCAATAATTATTGTAATGATATTTCAAGTGTGGTTGACTTACCACGCTCTAACCAACTGAGCTAAGCGACCGGTTGTGATTTGATGGATTTGAGTGTGGAAAGTGCTTATTTTGGTATATGTTGGGGTTGGGAAAATTGAGGGGCGGAGATGGATGGGTAGCGGGGGGGAAAAGGGAGGGGGAATGGAATGAATGGGTTTGTGTGATTAATAAATGGATGGATGGGTTGTTAGAGTTGGATTATTATGTTTTATAGAAATATCGATGGGGGTATATATATATATATATATGGATATTAATTATTCAGGTATCAGTATATCCAAACCCAACATACATACAAAAGCAGCCTTCCCTCACTCAAGTAAATTTAAACCCGCCCGTTCTTCCCCAAAACAGCGCTTCCGGATCAACATCCCTGTGCACCTGCGTCAGTTTCTCATAATTCCCCTCCCCGTAACTCTGCAGCGTCTCCTGGTCATACATAGCATCGTTCAGGAAATACAAGTTCTCCCCTCCCTTCCCATCTCCCTCGCCCACGCTCGCCCCGCCCTCTTCCCAATGCGAGTTCACCAGGCCCCTCCCGCCATACACGTCCGCGACCTGCTCCTTCGCCGTAGCAGTGATGTTGATGGCCGTCGCGTGCGCGTCCTCGTCGCCTAAGGCTGTGAGCCACGAAATGTCGTACTCCATCCACATGAAATCGCCATTACGCGCGTCCATGCCGAGGGCGTTGCCGCCGGCCGCGGCGGAGGCGGCGGGGATTATGGCGGGGAGCGGCTGGAAGGCTAGGGAGAAGATGAAGCCGGGGTGGAGGGGGGAGTTGAGGAGGACGTAGGATTTCCAGGTGTCGTAGTGGGTTTGGAGGAGGGTGGCACCGGTTGGGGCCGGGAGGTTGGGGAGTGTTGCGCCGCGGATTAGGTAGCGGAGGCCGTAGAGGTTGGTGTTGTCGTCGCCGTTGAGCTGGGGGTGAAGTTGTGTTAGCAGGATGACATATTATATCATAGCATGGTACGAGCAAAGCACAAAGCACAGGTAGGGGGTCCATAGCTGTGGATAGGATGGGTAAGGGTGGGGATAAATACCAGATCTGAATACGTTCTCGTCTTTGCATCGTCGCTGATGGTAGGGATAGCGTTAAACGCATCGAAGATCCCGTCAGGTACACTTTCCCCATCGTAGAAGAAAAACACGACGAATATCTCTAGCAGAGTGTCGATTGCTACTTCGCCTGTTACGATGACGGCTGCTTTGGGGTGGTCGACATAAGTCTCGGTGAAGGCTTGCGTGGCGTTGATGATTTGCTCAGCGTAGGTTCGTCGTACGAGCGGATACCTCCCCAGACTTGGCCGTTGGTACCAATGGGATGTGTTTTCATCGTGAAAGATGTAACGATACCTGTGGTTGTTAGTCGTGGGTTGAAAGGGGGGGAGGAAGTGCTGACCGAATTGGTTTCCACCTCCTTTGAGAGCGAAGAATAGATCTGGGTGGCTGGTGGCATTCGCATTGACGATCGATGCGTTTGCGAGAACTACTTCGTAGTTTACTACGTTATCGCAAACAAGTCCATATTGCCCACTGAGGAAACTGAGTCCTCCTCCAAGCGTCAGACCTGCAACCCCCACATCGCCTACAATATCAGCATCCTCTCCATTACCCACCAGGATTAGGCCTTACCAAGTCTCCCACTAACAACAGCAACACCATAAGGCTCAAGAGCTCCAATCACATCCTTCCATCTGGCCCCCGGTCCAATATTCGCAGTATTATCTCCCGGGTTGAAAGTCGTATTTCCCAAGTTACTCATAACAATCAACACGCCTCCATCTACAGACGACCAACCCACATTCGGATTATGGCCCCCGCTCTTAACAGCAAATGTGACATCTGGATACTGCAGCAAAGCCGAGACAATCGTGCTCACATCCTCCGCTGAGGTAGGGAAGACTGCGCAGGCTGGACTCAAGTCCGCGTTGGCAGCGGACCAGTAGTGGTCTTTAGCAGTGACATAATCGGAATTCAGAGCATCGCTTGATAGGGACAGAGTCTCTATGCTAGAGACAGAGATGGCCGTGCATGCTGCTGTGGTGTTGGATGAGACGGTTGTTGCGGAGACTGTGAGAAAGTAAGTTGCTGCAATGAGGGCCGAGCAAGGAGAGGGGAGGGAAAACATCTTGGACGCACAGTACGGCTGGTTTCATAGGGGTACCTGTCAGAACTTATATTTATCCAGATCTCCGCATTCCATCTATGATCAGGGGTATTTCCATGAATCCCAGCCGAGGCGTGGTATTGAGGACCGTGAAGATTCTGGGACACCGCAATAAATTTACGGAGTATGTCCTGATACGATCGTTGTACGTCTATGCTTTGCTCTCGTCCATGCCTTTCTATTGGCCACGAGGTGTAGTTCCCAGCTGACTACCGGTGGGGAAGTCCAATGCAATGGTACTTCGTATACTCCCGTACGCCGAGGAGCTTGAAATGGTATATTTGAGTGGATAAGCCCTCCCTAAGTGGAGGTCTGAGCAAAATCAACGCAAGCGAGGTATTCAAAAGGGGCAGGAGATAGAGAAGATCAAAACGGCGTAGCATATTGCCGAGGAAACGAAATGAACTAGAAGGCTCATCTGGCATATGAACAGGGAGCAGAGTATCATTGAGATTCGGATCTGCATGCTAATGGATAATTTGTCAAATACGGAGTAGGCGAAATTCATCCAACCGACCCAGGTGAGGAATTGCGGGGTATAAAGATCGCAAGAAGGGATTGAGCTAGTAAGAGATGCTTCAAGTTTCAAGAGCCATGATAGAGTGGGGTATCCATATGAAGGTATAATGGAATTAGAAGTGTAGACAACTGGTGGTGAGCGAGAAATGAGTAAGAATTGTGGTGGTCTCCTATATCTTTAGTACGCAGACAACTCTTTTTCATCCTCATACCAAAAGGCCACTGCTTTTTCTGTTTCTCGCAAATGTTTAGACTGTCGTTCCTGAATTAAATAAATGTTGAAGGGAAAAACAGTACTTACAGATTCCCAGCATCCTCCAATCTCTGGTATAGCAGTTCTATTTGACCAAACGCCAGATAATAGACTACTACATTCATCTGCTCTGATCTTGAGAGTTGGAAATGGGTGTACCTTGTATTTTGCTGCCCCTGATTCAACCACACGGCTTCAGACAACTTGTTCGTGTTGGTACGAGCAGCTAAGTCTTTTCGTTTCCGTCATATACACATACAATTCGTCCTTTCCCATTGCCTAGAAATACATGTCCATCCCTAAACAACTCCAAAACTCCACATATTGGGTATCCCAGCCTATCTTCCATTGCACATCATTATTTCTTCGCCCTCCCCTTCCCCTTCACAACTTTGCTCTTCCCCTTCTGCGCAGCAACCTGTTCCTTCTCTACAAAATCTCTCATGATACCATACAGTGCCTCATTCCTCCGTGTAATAAGTAGGACGTCGTCTGTTGTGACTGTGGTGCGGCCTGCGTGACGGGAAAAGGTTTCGAGATCTTGGGCTACGTTTTCTATACCGATTGTCAGCTAGAGCATTGAGACTGGAATGGTCTAGGGAAAAATGAAGAAATGGAAGGAAAACAAATACCGACTTGCGACCAGACCATCTCAGTCATTGCACCTATGAATTGTGGTGTAGCGGTTGTATCTAAACGGAGAGTCTCTTCGTCAACAATCTTGCCGATTGAGAACCAGAGGGAGGCTTTGAGACGCTGTGGAAGCTGGGATTAGGTATATTCCTTCATATACACAGAGTCAGAGGAGCTTACCTCGCGCAGATCCTCGTCCATTGCATCGGCCATTGTCGTGGCACAACGAAGTCGGGATGTTTGGGACTGATTCAGCGAGTCGCGATTCAGGCGCGGTCCGGAAGACGCGGCGCGCTTGCTCCGACGATAACTTATCACTACCAAAATAATTTCCCTCTCGTCAGAAATAAAACCCTCAAATCGCAAACTTCAAACCTCACGTCTTCGTCCTCCCTCCAACATCTCCCTCCAATATCGCCATGGCAGAATTATTAATAGCCACCTGGGAGCGCCTCAGCAATGTCCCCACTCACCTCGCCCACTCTGTCGACAACATGACTTTAAAGAACTGGATCCGCCTCATCGCATGCGTTGGAGCCTACTTGCTCGTCCGCCCCTACCTCATCAAGCTCTCTGCGCGACAACAAGAGAAGCAATTCGAGAAAATCGATGCGGAGACTACTGCTTCATTCGCAAAGCTCCAACCGAATGCGTTGAGGGATAGCAGGGGCTCGAAAGTTGAGATACCGGATAGTGAGAGTGAGGGAGAGGCAGATGGAGCGCCACAGTGGGGGAAGAAGGCAAAGGTTAGGCAAAGGAAGGTGGTCAAGAAGATTCAGGAGGCGATTGAGGAGAAGGGACGGGAGGACGATGATAGTAATAGTATTTTGGACCGGTTTGTGGATTACGAGGAGGGGGTTGATGGGTGGTAGGGGTTGTTATTCTCTGGTTTGGTGTTCAAATGGAGGAAGCATTGCTTCTGTGTATATTTTGTATGCGGATGTCTCAGTCCTAGGCTGTGGCTGTATTGATAGATGGATGGATGAAGTTGCTATGGGCATTCTACATGAGATGCCTCAGCGGGAGACACCTTCTTCTGTTACACTACCTAATACGAGTACAAAACGTTATTCATCCTCTTCACCAGTATCAATAACAGCAACTGGAACTAACTAACGGCTCGGTAGGCAAAGGCAAAACCGGCCGTAAAAGAAGTAAAAAGGCAGTGCAGATCCCTGCTTGGCGTTCAGGGACACACAGCAACTAATTCGCTGGAATATGGGGACAACGGCCTGGAGCATGGAGCCTATGGTCGAGTAACAGCCTCTTGATCGGGCGCAGTGCAGGCTGCAGACTGCAGGCCATCGATGCACTCAATCACCACTACCGAGTAATTCGTACGAGTCCTCTGTACTTGTACTGTGCATTTGTTAAAAATTCTACCGCTTTTTGTGGAACTCTTTACTCAATCATTCCCAAACTGATGTGTGACATAATAAGCTACATAGAGGAGTGATTAGGGGGTGAAGGAGGGGCATGGCCATGGCATGGGCTGAGGGGCAACTCGGCGACAAAAATCTTACACTGCATCGCATCGCATGGCATCCACCACATTCGTACTCCCAGTCACACACTAGACCTGCACCTATACCCCCCCAAGCAAGCCACGAACACGAAGATAGAGGGTCATCGAACTCAACCATCTCATGAACATGTGGTGGATACACAATTCATTCTGATTTCCCACCTCACGACTGCAATACTTCCTCGGATGGCATCAATAGAGTCCATCTGTACCCGGCGCTAAACATCATATATCACCATGGAGAGTCCGCAGAAACATAATATCAACGAGCTTCTTACCCAAGGCTTCTTCACGACGAGGAGGGGAAAGAGCCCTTCAAGGTACGTAATTTCTCCAAATCCTGGGCTCAATGACCGACTAACAATATACAGACCAACAGCCCCAACAGCTCCACCACGCGAATCCTCCTTCCTCAGAACCCCGTCTTACGAAGCCCCCCACGATCGAAGTAGGAGTCGAACTCGTAGACGTCTACCCCCTCCACCGATAGTAGAAGAGGAGGCCGTTTCTCTTGCAAAAGAGTATTCCAAAACTGCGAGACGCTCTTCCTACGATCCTCCTCTGCGTGGAATTATCGACCAAGTCCCAATCATACTCGAGGCGGATGTTACAAAGACCGAGGCTGCAAGGCTACAAGCACAACCAATTCCAAAAAGCACAGACGACAATCCAGAAAAACGTTTTGTCTTGATTCCAAAATCAGATACCTATTCTCCGAATGAAGAAGATGGTCCTAATAATAGTAAAGGCAAGAATGCAGACAAGAGTCAGACGCTGAAAGCGGAGGTAAAACGAGATGAGAAGAAAGACACTTTGCCAAAACCACCCATTACACGAAGACGGAGTAGACTGGATCTGCCGTCCCTAGAAACAAAACTACCAAAAGAGATACCACCGCAATATCGAAGAAGTGCTTCCGCGTATGCTTCCACCCCAAAAGACCACGACGAAACACCAAAAACTCAAGGCTCAAGGCCTTCCGAATCTTTCCTCTCACCAGATGTCTCACGGGGAAAGAAAGACTATTTTGGATCGGCGCCAGCACCTCGACAATCGGCTCAAGATACTTTTGGTGGAAGGGCTGCCAATGGAAATAACTCCAGCTCCCGTCCAGTATCTCCTACCGTAGAGAAACGGCATAGTGGAAATTTAGAATCATATCGATCCAGGCATGACACCAATGAAAAGGTGACAAAGCCACAGCAGTTTTCCGAAGAATATGGATCTCGGCGAAATGAACGGCATACTTCTACACATTCAGACAGGCTTTCAGCAGGTCGTTCATCAAGAAGTTCAAATCGATCAAGCAGGCATTATCACAGCAGCAGTAGTGATGAGATTGCAGACAGTGATTCAGACAAGGAACACAAACGTTACGAACATAAAAGTCACAAGGCAATTCGGGAAGAGGGTGGCTACGATCGACATTCACATTCTCCATCAAGATCCAATAGATCTTCAATCGAGAGGAAGGGAACTTCTAAATATAATTCGCCCTATGCTTCCCCAAAGCTTTCACCTAGTCAGATTCCTAAAGATCAGTTATTCGAGAGGAGTGAAACCTTCCCGAGCGATAGACGGAGGGATACTTCGAGACCTGTGTCACCACTTTCACCTAGTCCAGATACACCCCGAACAGATAGACTGAATCCTCTTGAGGCTTCAAAATCCCGCCCGAGGTCGAGATCAAGTGCAGCAGCGCCTAGGCGACAAGCTGCGCCTTTGGGATTACACCCATCTTTGCCCATTCCAATTCCAATTCCATCAAGGGTCGACCTTCCTGGAGAAATTCGAAAGTCACCAGTGACTACACAGTTCGACGAGCAAAGATCTGCGACTGCTCGTCCACCTGCAAACCCGAAACCTGACTGGAATCCGGGAACCTTTCAACCACCATCTAATAACCTTCAAAAACCAGTTGGCTCTTTCAGACGGTATTCAGAAGACATGGAGAAAGGAAGTATTGCACCTCTCCCATCATGTCCCCGAACAAACTACACTCGAGGCCGCAACGACTGGCTGACATTGCCAAATTGCCCATCATTCGACATCTGCCCATCATGCTTCACTTCCTCCATCGCACCCACCGATTTCCGGACTCACTTCGTCCCCGCCCCTCGCCGACCAGCAGACGCCGCGGTTCTCTGTGATTTTGGAAGCTCTCCTTGGTATAGGATCGCATGGCTCTTGACACTAAAAGAGAAAAGGCAAAATCTCAAGCTCTTCTATGGCCTCGCCAACATCGCCGCAAATGAGCCGCCCTGTCTGGGAAAACACGAAGCAGCGCGGAAATGGCATTCCATCATCGACCCCAAGACCGGAAGCGATATTTATAACTTTGACGTCTGTTACAGCTGCGTCAAAAGCATAGAGGTCCTACTCCCAGCATTAAAAGGGATATTTGTCCGCACAGACTCACAGAGCCCATCCTTCCGAGTCTGCGATTTACGATTCGACAGCCCACGCTTCATCCAATATTTCGACGCCCTCGAGGTAACCGCCGATCGTGCTGACTACCATGATAAAGACCCAGACACGCGTGACCTTGCCTCCCTCGCTCGCCGCTTCGCCAAACTCGACGAATGCCCACAAGCTACCGACCTCGTTGACAAAAAATGGCACTTTATCACTCAACTCCCTGAATTCACCGTCTGTCCTGAATGCTATCACGAAATCGTCCAGCCGGAGGTAGAAGACCGCAAACCAATTCCCCTTCTCTTTTGCAAAGATCCAAAACGCGTCAATGGCAAAGCGAGCTGCCAGCTTTATAGCGCTCGGATGAGAGGTCTGTTTAGGACGGCGGTTGATGCGGATGACTATAAGCTGTTGGCTAGTAAGGCACGTGAGAGGAGGACAGTGGAGACGGCATGGAAGGCGAATCTGTCAGAGTTGAGAAGGAAGGAGAGGGCAGGGTTGGATGTCAGGGGGGAGATTAGGAGGGTTGATGATGAATGGGAGAGGTGGGAATAAGACGTTAAGAGGTATATTAATGGATTAGATTGGATTGGGTTTGGTGTTAATTGGGATATGGGAAAAGCGTCGGTCGGCATGGCATGTATGAATGAATGATATAATGAGAATGAGACAAGAATGAGATATGAAGTTCGTCTACCCTTGGGCTTGTGCACCCTTTCGTGAGGCCTGATCTCCTGATGCGCGTTTCTTACTCTTGGTCGAGTGTGAAGAAGAAAGACTACCTCATGATCACATACTATATCTCACACCTTCAAAGTCTGTCAAAGAAGTTTCTTCAGTTTGTATTCCCATCATATACGACGGGATACTGTGGTGGCATGTTACCATAGAAGCTCAGAATTGAATAGCTAAGGAGGTAAATTTCATCTCCATTAATGATTAAGGCTATTCGAATGAATAGTTTAGAGGCATAAAGGATAGAGAATAGATATAGCTGAAGTTCTAGAGCTTAATACGCTTTTGATCGGGCAAAAAAGGCTTCGTCACGAACAAATGTGTATAGAAGATAACTGCAGGAGTGTATTGGTATGTAGAGTACAAAGGTGAAGTTCCAGCACTTTCTACAAGACAGGATTGTAGTTGTAGGAGATGAGATATTGATAGGCAGGAGAACTGTCGCACGTGAGTGAAAGAACGGATTCTGTTAGGATAAGCCACCGCCTACCACCCTTTCGAAAAGAAAACTCCCCATAGGCTAGCTAATACCGGAAGACCAGAGCATTACAAGATAGAGTCTAGTCATATCGTCCACGTGAAAATCTCCTAACGCCACAACCTTGCTTCCCTGGAAAAGAGGAGCGCTCACTCCAGACTCGAGGACGAGAAGCTGACAATGTCTCTCGACGGGTGGGTGATCGATAATCTTCTCCTCTACGGATCTCTTGACGACCATTTCGGGAGTAGATCTCTTGTCTGCCAGCATCAGCGCGTCTTCTTGGAAACCTTTCACCCTTGATTGTGGGAACTGGGGCTGGCAGGTTCCGTCTGTTGCTTCGAGGTGGACTGCGGCTACGATTATCTCTTACACGACTAGAGGTACCCACGTCTTGATCGGACATCACTCTGCTCTGGGTCCTTTCTGGTTGACGTCCGTGCCCATGACCAGGATCTTGGTATGTGGTATGCGCAAAGTAGCTGGGCGGACTCTCTTCGAGTGGGTACCGGTCTCGTGGGCAATATCTGTCTGAATCCTGGGAGACATGGAGATTATCGTCCTTACGCCTGGGGTAAGCTGTCTGTCTGCCTATGTTTGTGTCGCGCGAAGGACGGGAGTCACGATTCGGATTTTCGGCATCTTCTCTTCTGTGTCTCTCTGATGTCAGGGAACTAGCGAACGGAAAATTTAGCTTTGGTTCAAAAAGTATACAGGAATGATTCAGAAGCGGTGAATGCAGACTCCAGAAGCAGTCCATATTGTAATGATATGATTTCCCCAAAGACTTACCTATCTGGGTGGCGTTGGACTTGGCGTGCTAGTGATGATGATGGAGCATGCACCTGCTGTCTCGATTGCGTTTTGCGCTCTGGTGAATCCACAAATTGGTCGTGCATGCTTGGAGGTGACCGGCTATGGGTGTTGTATGGCAAGTTGTAGCCATTGGGTTCAAGGGGATGAAGCCTTGAAGGAGGGGTGAGTGGATGTAAAGGCGGACGTGCATCTGACAAGCCATGACTGCGAACGGGAGATTCTCCTCTCATTCTTGGTCTACCACCACTGAATCCATTACCAAGTTGAAGGACCCCATCATCGCTCATGTACAGAAGTGGACTGTCGGAATGGTTGAGTGGGCTTCGGCCGCATCTTGACCGTTCCATATGATGCGAGCCTTCCATTTCTCGGCGATGATCCAGATCTTGATCTCTCCCATGGGACGTACTCCGTTTGAGAGAGTTGTTCAATTCGTTACCAGAAACTGCTGATCGGCCACCACGCAGCGCCACTCTACCCGAGGTGCTCGAGTAGCCAGGAGCTCTTAAGATGGGATCAGAGTAGCCAAACTTTTCAGCGGGAAGCTTGTGATGATGACTCTGCGTCGATATATTAATCTCATGAGAATCTCCAAGCCGCATGAGTTTTCGTCGGTCAGGATGGATGAAGTCTTCATTGTGGTTCTCGGCGTCAGGACCTTGTTGCGCCGTGGTACTCGTGAGGTCGCCAGTGGCAGTTGAATCGTGGTGATTAGAGCTGATTCTTGCATGTTTCTCATTCGTGGCAGCCATACTTGGGTTGTGTGTCGATGAGATACTGCGGAATCTTTTGGAACATTGAGAGAGAGATGTGGTAAACAAACCCCTTTTGCTAGCCGAGACCGCCTTTGTCACGTGCCAGTTTCTTGTCTACTTTTTCAATAGGTTGTTCTACCATGACAATTGAAGGAATATAGATTCCGCATACCAATTACTCTAAACTTTAGTGAACTACATTGATTCCAACGTCACGCTAGGCTTCAGGCTTTTACCGCTCGTTACATATATGTACTTCTCGTCAGATGAACTTACCCCTCAAGCTTTTATCAAAGTCCTTCCCGAAATTCACATCTCCTGTCCTTCCATCTCCATTCCCAGCGTCATGGCTTACAATGGCTGGCCGAGTGAGTAGTTCTCATAGATCGGAGTTGTTGTGCTTGAAGATGATTCGAGATAGCGGGAAAGTTGGAGAAGTCAGTTCTCTTGAAGTTTGAAATGGCTGAGTAATAGAGAGAAGTGAATTGGCTGAGAAAGTTAGACAGTGGTAAACTTCATTCCTTGTACTGGCGGTAAAGCTCAGATACATGCATCAAATCTGGGCGGTAGCGTGTTGCTCCTGATTCCAAGCGTTCATCGACTCCTAAAGTGTTATACGGACGTCTCTACCGAAGAAAGAAGATTCGCGGTAGATGGGAGAAGCACCACCAATTTATAATGGGCCGGGTGGTGTGGGACATTAAAAGTTGAAAAGTAAGGCATCAAAGGAGTCAACGAGAATTTGAAGACAAAGCAAGAGGCTATATCTGAAGACCGAGTTGTGCACTGTATTGTTAATTTCAATCGAATGCAAGGCATCCTTTTAAACGAAAACTGTACCGTTTGTAATCACGTCCATTTGGAGTTTGTAATCGATCGTCAAATGAGTTGGGAAAACCTGTCGGAATCTAGAACCAAATGCTATGTGTCCCAACTCCGTCCAGCAAGGTTCAACCAGGCCCATACATCCATCAAGTGTATCATCCGCTCCATAAAAAAAGAAACATACACCCAATTTAGTCTTTCATCTCCCCATAATTTAGTATAACCTCCATACTCATAACATCTTCATCCTCCAAAAACCCTTTTGCAAAACGATGGTAGTATTGTAGGCTGGCTGTGTTTTGGAGAGATCGGAGAGTCTTTGTTAGGTCCAGATACATTACTCTCTCTGCGAGAAACAAAAGAGTAAGAAGCCTGCCACAAAATCAATTGATTCTTTGAGAACCTGCCGCGTTTACATTACCACTGTCTGAAATCGCAAAGGTTCAGCACCACCATTGCCTGCAGAAGCAGCAAATGAGCCAACTCTGGCCGGAACTCCCTTGTCGACAATTTTCACCAACCGTTTTGGTAACTGTGTTGTATTGAGGCATTAGGGAACTCTTCTACTTTAATGGCATTCAGGGGAGGCGTCAAGACAACTATTACAGTTAGCATCATATCTAATTAGCAGACTAATCTTGTAAGCTTACAGTTCTTGTGATCGAAATCATCATCAACCTGGCTCATGCCTGCTCTCTCGAGGGAATTATTCTCTTCCTCTTCATCGTAACCAGGGATGACTAGCAATAACGTTAGCTGGCACCCATAGGACAATATGCACAACTTACTAAGTCCGTACTTGCTGCGAATACACTTGGCCACTTTAAAAGGAGCGTTTGGGTCTTCGGCTACAGCCTTTTTGTAGTTGGCAGTGAAGACAGGACCAAACTCTTCCAACCAGGCATCACTGATATCATCAGGGAGAGGAGCCGCATCTTTGTGTTGACGAGCGTGGTAAAAAGCGCGGGTAATAGGCTTAAGCTTCTCTTCATTCTCTTGCCAGAAAGTCTCATCGAAAGACTCTTGTGTTCTTTGCTCGTTCACACGAAGACAGGACACAATCTCATAGTACAACCTGGCAACCTGGGTCTTGAAGATGGTCTTGTAATCCTTGTGGATGACAGGGGAAGCGAGGACGAAAGTCAAGATGTCTGTGAATGGACTTGACAACTTCACCTTCTCCTTGAAAGCACCACCGCAGAAAGAGTCATGGGCCAACTCGGATACGACAAGTGACTTGAAGCGGTCGTAGAACTCGTTGGCAAGGCCTTGGTGAATGACATCGATTCTCCGGTGCTCCTTGACGGTCTTGTGAGGGCCAGCGACGTTGCGGAACAGGGCCCAAGTCTGCTCGTTCGTATCTAGGTTCCAGTAGCCACTGGAGTTGAGGTGATTCTTCTTGTCGGCGTCATCCATACGCTGAGCGGCATCGGGACCAGGGAGAGGGGTTGAGGATTTCATGTTGTACAATTCGGGATGAGTAATAGCAGGTTGAGAGATGCTGGATTGCTGGAGTGTGGATTGACGTGCAAGTGGTTGCAATGCTATTAGAGAGTTGCGTGTTTCGACTGCGATGCGTTGTTTGTCTGACGGAGTGGACGGAATGAATACCAACGCTGGGAGGCCGACACATTTTGGCCAGCCTTGTTGACTTCGCTTATTAGCGCGAGGTTGAAACATACGAGGATATATTCAATGACTTATCAAATACACTATCATATACAAATATACAAACACATAGTCTACATTACAAAATTGAGCGTCTTCCCGCCTTGCACAACAATAACCTTCGTCGCCTTCCTTACATCCGCTAGCCCCTTCCCCTCACCCATTAGCTTTTCCTTCGCCTCCGCCGTAGCCAGGATTTCCCGTACCAGAAATATCTCCAACTCCTTACCCTTCATATCTTCTTTCGGAATCGTCAGGTGAACGATAGCCCTCAACTTCCCATTGACCTGCACCGCACATTTTCGCCTCGTAGGAGCTAGCAACTCATACGTGCCATCTGTCTCCGGGAAGGGTTCCACGAAAATGGAAGTTGGGGAATTCGAAAGTTGCGGGTTGACTTTCATCCAGACTTCTTCTGCGAATGCCGGGGTGATAGGCGCCATCATTTTGACTAGCTGACTTACCGCATGTTGGTGTAATGTCAAATCCAGAATCGGAATGTCGGACTCCTTGTCCTCCTCCAATAAATCGTGAGTGACGGGGAACGATTGGTGGAGTATGGCGTTCGTCAGGGACATCAGATCTGACACTACCGTGTTGAGAGAATAGCTGTTGTCGTATGAGTGAGTGACGCTTACAATGGTTTTTTGAACCTCAAACCAAAGCTGTTCACCCCGGTCCATTCCTTGATTCCGATATTCGCGTTGCCGCATTGGAAAGTTATCGTCTGCCTCATTCTCTGGCACAGAGTGGAGAGCCTTTATCAACGGTAACGCCTCAGAATTCATCTTTTGAGCCGCCAGAATGTAATTTCTTGGATAATATATGTCAGAGAATTCCGCATTCGCGTATGCCCAAACCGCAGCGAATTTATCGATATGTTCGTAGAGTCTACGCAACCATCGTGTTATGCCAGATATTCTCTCCTCGTCCCATTCTAGGACCTCGGTGACCGGAGCTTGGAATAGAATATGTGCCCTGGTGGCATCTGCTCCATATTTGCTCATGCATTTTCCGGGGTCAACTCCATTGTACTTTGACTTTGACATTTTCTCATAACTGATATTCGGAGCTTTTCCGGTGCTGAGAATACGGGGCTTAGAGGGTATGCTAAGATCAACCTCATTTGGTTTTAAGAACCGTCCAGTAGAAGGGTCCGAGAATGTTTTCCCATGAACCATTCCTTGTGTGAGGACTTTTTTGAAGGGTTCCCCATGATGTGTTGCTCCGGCTGGCCAATAAGGCGTTGTAGCGAGGAACTTGGAGATGAACCGAGCATAGAGAAGATGCAAGATTGCATGCTCGACCCCGCCAATATAAACATCAACAGGGAGGGACGCATTTGCTGCTTCAGGTGAAAATAGAGCGTCATTGTTTTTTGCGTCAGGAAACCTCATAAAGTACCAACTTGAATCGACAAACGTATCCATGGTATCTGTGTCTCGCTTTGCCGCATCCCCACACCTTGGACAAGACGTATTCACCCAATCATGGGCGTTTTCCAGGGGATTTCCAGTCTTTCCTTCCGCCCAATGATCCTCAACCTTGGGAAGCTGGACTGGCAGCTGGTCTTCTGGAACAGGGACTGGTCCGCAGCTTCCACAATGAATAATGGGGATTGGAGTTCCCCAATAGCGTTGGCGACTTACAAGCCAATCTCGGAGACGCCATGTTGCAGCAGCAGATCCAAGGCCTTTCGACTCGAGGAAGGAAACAATTTCCCCCGCACCCTGTGCACTGGTGTGTCCAGCATAAGGTCCGCTGTGAGAGTTCAAATAGCCTTCACGAAGGAAGGGCTGATTGCTCGTTTTGATTTGAGGATTTTTAGTAGGTGAAGAGGAAATTACCAGTCGGATTGGATCGCCAGATCGATTGTGCTTCCAAAAGGCATAATCGCGAGTATCATGACCTGGGACTCCCATTACCGCACCGTCTCCGTAATCTCCGAGGACATACGGTGCAACGAAAATCGGCAAAGGAGCTTTGGTTGCATCCGGTGTCGTCGTTTCGTCTGCAAGGGGGTTGGTAGCTCTGATGTTAGGCAATAGGTAGCCAACCTTTGAGTCTGGTGGGAGCGCTGGTAATGTGTCTAGGAAAGCTTGCAGGTCAACATCACTTTTTGCGAGACTTTGGACAATTGGATGCGTTGATGCAAGAGCAAGGTACTGCACACCAAATAATGTGTCTGGCCGTGTGGTAAATACTTTAATGTTAGTATGACTTTGTTGATCATTCGATACCACAGGAAATTTGATATCCGCCCCAACAGATTTTCCAATCCAATTCTTCTGCATTGCCAGTACCCTTTCGGGCCATGCGGAATCCTTGGCTAGATATTGCAGATCATCTAGCAGCTCTTGTCGGAATTCAGATATTTTGAAAAACCATTGCTTTAATAAGCGCTTCTCAACCTTGGCCCCCGACCTCCATGAATTGCCACTTGCGTCGACTTGCTCATTGGCTAAAACAGTTTTGTCCACTGGGTCGTAGTTCACGAGAGATTCGGCTTGGTATGCCAAGCCACGTTCATGCAGGAGCAGGAACAGGCGTTGTGTGTGCTTGTAGAAGCTTGGGTCACAAGTTGCAACCTCCTGGACCTGGATTAGCCCTATGTCTCCTTATGTGCTATTCTACGTACTCTATCCCAGTCCCAATGGCCATTCATGGCGTCTAGTTGTCCTTTCATCTTCCCAATATTGCTCTTGGTCCATACTGCCGGATCGATTCCTCGCTCAATCGCTGCGTTCTCTGCTGGCAGACCAAATGCATCCCATCCGATAGGGTGCATCACTTTGTAGCCCTGCATATGTTTGAACCGCGCCAAAACATCCGATATAGTATATACTCGTAGATGTCCCAGATGAAGATCCCCTGAAGGGTATGGAAACATTGGCAGAATATACGACTTCTTCGCATCGGGACCCCTAATCCCCATATACTGTCGATTGCTAGCCCATACCCTTTGCCACGTTCTGTCAACTTCTGGGAGGTTCAGAGGCAGAGGTTTTGGCTTTGGTTTGAGGCGTTCATTGATTCCTTCTGCCTTCTGTCGTGAGAGCTCGAACGCAAATCGTCGGGTAGTATAATTATGGATGCTGGTAGGAGCATTGTGACTGCCATTGCGATTGGCAAACTTTGAGCAGCCTGGTCGGACGAGCCTTTGCCCTGCATACCTGCTGTTTGAAATCATGTTGCTGCAGCATTTTGCGCTATGAAAATAGCTTCATTATTGTGGTTGGAAGTGGTGAAGTAGAAAGATTGTGAAGTAAAGTAGAGATGGAAATGTTCCGCGAAAAAGGACGTGCACTCAATTTAGACTTTGGCGGCTCAACTTCACTGCAACACAAAGGGAACAACAGAAAACAGACCAAACATCACGCACTGCAAACATCACATGCTGGCTTCACTTTCTCACAATAACCTCCATATTTTGAAGTACATATTATAATTCCCCCGTAATTCATTTATATATTCCCCCCAGATTACCCGCTTCACGACGATATGAGCAAGACGTTACTGTAAAACCAGTCTTCAACCCACATCAACTCTCCTCTCCCTCGAACATGTGGACGTAAAAGGGGCTCAATCCTACAACATCTATACCACACCACACCAATACATACCATGGCGCACAACTACTCCTCCCTTCAGCCCCACGCCCGCGATTCCCTCGAGCTTGCCAGCCTAGCCTCCTCTTCCCCTGGGCCTCGAACATCAACATCCTCCACCTCCTCTCGCTCGGGCGTTCCATCCTCGCGCAAACTCTCCCTCGAAGAAGACGACCCCCTAGACTCCCGCAACCCAGCCCGCATACCACATAACCGCTCATTCTCCGTCTCCTCTGCCTTTGACTTCCAGTCCCATCTCTTTCCCTTGTCCTCGACGCAAGGCAATGGCTATGCGCCCATAGGTGCCCCTATATCGAGTTCGGGTCCACAGACGGCGTTAGGAGGAGGATCGCTGGAGAAACACAAGACGCTCACGTATTTGAATGGGTTGTCGTTGATAGTAGGGTTGATAATAGGGTCTGGGATCTTCTCGTCGCCCAGCCAGGTCAATGTGAACGCTGGGTCTGCTGGGGCGTCGCTGATCGTATGGGCATTGGCGGGGATACTAGCTTGGACGGGAGCATCGAGTTATGCAGAGCTGGGAGGGGCGATACCGCTGAATGGAGGCCCGCAGGTGTACTTGTCTAAAATATTCGGGGAGTTATTCGGGTTTTTGTTTACATGGTGTGCCGTGATGGTGCTGAAACCTGGGTCTTCGGCCATCATCTCCATAATCATGGGAGAATATCTCGTCCGGGCAGCCATTGGGGCGGAGGCAGAAAATGTGAGCAGTTGGATTAATAAGAGCGTGGCTTTAGTTGGGTTATTGGTGGTCACGCTACTGAACTGTATATCTACGAGACTGGGCACGAGGATGGGAGACATGTTTATGTTCATGAAGTTCATTGCGTTACTTGGAGTTACGGTCATTGGAATTGTGGTAGCGGTCACAGGATTTTCTGCATCTGGAGAGGCTAATCAGGATTGGAAGACAATTGGGTGGTTTGAGGGGACAAGCACAAGTGCTTCATCTTGGGCTGTTGCTTTGTACGCGGGGCTGTGGGCATTTGATGGTTGGGATAACGTGAGTGTTTTGTCCGTATCTCTGAGCTCTATATTGACCTTCTTTAGACAAACTATGTGGTTGGAGAATTCCGTAACCCAACTCGAGACCTCCCTAGAGTCATACACACAGCAATGCCGCTGGTAATTCTCTCTTATATCCTCGCCAACGTCGCCTACTTTTTCGTCCTCCCCATCAGAACTCTCAACTCGTCCAATACAGTAGCCGTCATGTTTGGGAACGAAGTGTTTGGCCCCATTGGCTCCCTCGTCCTAGCCCTAATCGTCAGCGCATCCTGTTTTGGTGCCCTAAATGCCACAACGTTCACCAGTGGCCGTCTCGTCTACGTAGCAGGAAAAGAAGGCTATCTCCCATCAGTGTTCGGCAAGATAGGCATAAGGAATCACGACGAGCCTACTTCCTCTCGTCTGAGAACCAGGAACTGGGCATCGAAGCTTCTGGCAAAGCTATGTGGGGATGAAGAAACGGGATTATTCTTCACTCCGGTCTACGCTATGGTCCTCAATGCCTGTCTCACAGCATGCTACGTCTTTGTCGGCGAATTCGGAACCCTCGTTACATTCTACGGCGTAGCAGGTTACACGTTCTACTTCCTTACCGTTCTCGGTCTCATCATCTTGCGTGTAAGAGAGCCGAATTTGGAAAGGCCGTACAAAACATGGATCACCACGCCGATTATCTTCTGCTGCGTGAGTCTGTTTTTGCTTAGTAGAGCAGTCTTTGCAGAACCGCTACAAACGTTGATTGTTGTGGTGTTTGTTGGCATCGGCGTCCCAATTTATTACTGGCGAATAGCGGGACGGGATCAGGTGAAGAGGGAGAGTGGAAGTAGTGGAAGACGGGGATGGAAGTTTTGGAAATGGGGGACGAGTTGATGAATCCATATGCATATTAATTAATACAAACGTTCAACTTCAAGGCCCTCGGCTAACTCGTCAACTCCTGCTTTCTTGCATTTCATTCCTTTTAGTCTTTTGGCTTCAACTCCTTTGGAGGCCTCGTAATCCCCGTCAAATAGTCCCCATTCAGTGTCTTCATCACCTTCCCCAACCCCTCATGGCTATAATCCTTCTCATTCCACATATCCTTATGATACACCACCTTCTCATCCCCTCCTTCCTTTTTTAACGCAAGACTTACTAGACTATTCACCGCTTTTCCTGTCGGCATGAGTTTCGGCCTATATTCCTGTTGCAGCTTGAACACAATCTCTTTGTCTGTGCTGGATACGACTTCTGTTGCCAGAGTCTTTGAGGTGCCCATGATTTTAGGAATCCCTGAATGTCATGACATGCCATTAATACCAAGTTACGAGTCACGAGTTACAATAAAGGGGGATTGATTGGGGGGTTAAGAGGGAAGCATATCATACCATACCACTGCCCCGCAATCTTGAAACGATCATCACAAAAACTCCACGGATCATCATAAACCGCCTTCTCAGCATACACTTGCATATCCTCCTGACTCGCACTGCCGGAATACAGCGCACATATCGAAGTCAAAATCTTCTGTCTAGATGCCGAGAGCGGGATTGCTGATGAGTTTGTTAGTGAAAGCGGAGAGAGTGCAAATGGGAAAGCGGGTTTGTTTACAAGTTTCGGGATGCGGTGTGTAGTCGATGGATGAGGTATTGGGGTTCGTGGCGAGCGTTGTGGGATCTGGGTGGGGTTCGCGGGGGGTGGATGGATGAGAGGGCAAACATGGTTGATAGGTAGGTTGGCAATTAAGTAAGTCAATTACTAGAATTTGATGTTGTGATAGGAAAAGTAAATTGAAGTTCAGATCCAACAATTTGAAGATATTTGAAGTGGTAGTTAAGGAGACTCGTGATGTCATGATAATCTGGATATGCAGTGCTCACGAAGAACGAGAAAGTGGTTTGCAGTCGGGACAAAGTGATAAAAACAATGATATCGTTTCAGTGGAAAGCAAAGAATACCCCACAACCCAATTGTATCTCTTGCTAATTACAAAAGATAGCAAGTACCTAGCAGTCACGTGCTAGGCCCCTGAATTAGACGAACTATATTCTTCCCATTGTTGTGCCTATTTAGAAGAGCTATATATAATCTTTGCACACATGTATCCCAAACTCCATTCGCTATGCCAAACCTATTGAACCGCAAACCCTCATAAAACCATGTCCCTTCATACTCATATCATCTAACCGGAATCTCCCACGCAGCAGCATCGTCATCCTCATCATCACTGTCTAGCTCATCTTCCTCATCATTTAACGCCATTTGCACAAACCTCTGCACCCATTCCCTCTGTGCAGCTTCCTGCTGTGCCCGATCTAGTGCAGGAGCAGGCACCGGTGCATGGCGTGGCTGCACAACTCGACGGGCTTGTCCTCCTCGTCCGGGTCTTGCATTTGGTCCTCGGCGGGCCTGTTGAGGTGGGTCGGGAACAGCGGGTGCGGGTTGGGGAGGGAGATGATTGATGCGTAGTACAAGAGGACCTTCGCGCTGGAGAGCTTCTAGCGGGGCGTCGTCGATAGGACGTTGGGCTTGGATAGGATGAGGTTCGTCGTTTGCCATCTCTACTACCTCGAAGAAGCCCTCCGGCTCCGGCTCAGGCTCAATATCCGCAACTTCCTCTGGACCACGTGGTGCACCTCCCGCGTATCCAATGCCCACATCATCACCATCGCCTCCCTCGAGCTCCCATAATCGCATGTAGCAAGGCTCCTGCTCTGTGTTGTAATGTTGATATGGATTTGCGGGCATTAACCATGCCGAGCATAGATAGCAGAAGTGAGAACGACATTTGAAGCAAATCATGTGGTTGCAGCCATGAGTCTTTTGTGCTGGAGCAGCGCAAGTCGGGCAAGGCGTTGTGTGAAGCTGTAGGTATTCCAAAGATGCCTTATCCTCTTCAGTGAGCTCTCCACGATCCCTCTTTGGTGAGCAAACAGTTAACTCTCCATGCCATCCTTGGTAGCATCTGCTGCAGAATGCATAAGAGCAATCCTCGCACACCGAGAGTAGGTCTTTACCAGAAACGTAATCCTTCTTCTCCGCCATGTCATCGGCATCCGACTCATCATTTGAGTTATCGATTTCCAAGCCAACCGGCTTTCGATGCTTCTTTGATTTGGCAGCACCCTGACACCACTTTCTCGGGCAGTATATCGTATTCTTGTCCGATTCCAAATCCGCCTTGTGTTTCAATTTAACGTATCGAGTGACCACATCGTGTTCTAGTGGGATTTCTAATAGTTCGCTAGGGCTGAGATTCGTCTTCGGTTTTCGAGTCTTGCCCGTACTGACTTGAGCTTCCGAGCGTTTCTTTGCGCAATTAGGGGCCAAACAGCGCACCATGGCTAGATCGCCTTCGTTTATAGCATTATTGTAGAAATCCTGGAGACATTGAACGCAGAAAACATGGCCGCAGTCGATCATTCGGTGGCAGACGGAGCCTCTTTTTGGATCAAGACAAATCCCGCATGCAAAACTTTCCTTCTCGAAAGCAGCCTGCGTTGCTTTAATATCCCAGTCCAGGAGAGATATTTTGAGATCCTGGGGTATTTCGAGAACCTTGCCTTCCGCAAACCCAAATGCGTTCTCAGCAGATTGTTGTAGGAAATCAATATAACCATAGACCGCAGCACTGCGACCAGCTTCCTCCCATACGCGCTCTCCGTTGGCTTGCAACTCGTCCAAGTGGGTTTGCGATAGCCATGATGGCGAGGTTGATATTTCAAACTTTGGCGGCTTTTCTTCCGGATATCCTTCAGGCAAAGTAATGTGCAACTTTAGAGACGGCAGATAGGATAAGTTATGCGATTCGACAATAGTAACAACCTCTGGAGTAGATTCGGTGTCGACTTGACTCGAGGAGTCGGACTGTGGTGGGGTAGGAAGTGCACCGTCCGAGGACGCAGGGAAGGCGACCTTGACGGTGTTCTGAGGGTGAACAGGCAGTTCGATGGAGGCGGAGAAGGGATTCTCGGGGTTGAGGACAATTTCAGGGAAGATTGCTGCGATGCAGTCTAGTTCGATTGTGCGCTCGTCTTCGTCGTCCATTGTGGCAGGCAGAATGTCACCGGCCGATCCTGGATAGGACTTCTGCAGGGAGGGGAATGATGAGGATCATAAGTATTGAGGAGAGGAGAAAAGATATGGTATGCTGCGTTTATGTAGGGACGAAAGTTGTGTACAAGTGGCGAGAGATCACCAGCTATACTTTACGCCGAAATACCGATATTGGTAAGTGTGTTGGTCGAATTAGGAAATTTGGGATTTTTCGAGTCTGTTGTGAGTCGTGATTTTGGAGAGCCGCTTTATATATTGAACCACGCCGCTTTAGAAGAGCGGATGGATTTCCCCTTCAACAAATATCCCAAGAACCATCATAGAATTAATATATACACCACCACGACTGTACATATGCCGTGTATATTGAATCTCTGCAGGTCATCTATCAATCACCAACTCCATTACCATTCATGGCAGATACTCCTCTCGCGTCTCTCTCCCTAACCCACGTTCACTATGTATGCCTGCCCTCGATCCCACCAGTCCCACCCCAATCCCCTCCCACACTCTGTCTAACCTCCGTTTGCCAGGATCCAAATGACCCCATATCCTATTTCTGCGCATGGCTCGCCCTCGTACCCCAAGGCCTCTGCGTCATGTACGCAACCCTAATATGGTCCACCCGCGAGATTGAAATCCTCCTCATGTTCGGCGGCCAATTGGCCTGCGAGGCCCTAAACTTCGCCTTGAAGCGCATCCTCAAAGAAGAGCGCCCGAAACAGATGCATGGGAAAGGCTACGGAATGCCGTCCTCACACGCGCAATTCGTCGCCTTCTTCTCGCTGAGCTTGACCCTTTTCTTGCTGTTCAGACATGTTCCTAAGAAGCCGACACCCAGCCATACGCCGTTAAGTATGCTTGCGAGGTTTGCGCTGTCCGGGCTGGCACTGGCGAATGCGGGCTTGGTTGCGTGGAGTAGGACTTATTTGAGTTATCATACACCAAAGCAGGTGCTGGTTGGATGTGTGGCTGGGGCTGTGACTGCTGTATCTTGGTTCTTGGTCACAACGGTGGTTCGGCAGATTGGATTACTGTCCTGGGCTATAGACCAGCCCATTGTTAGGCTATTTAGAATGAGAGATCTGGTGGTGGAAGAAGATCTATGTCAAGCTGGATGGGAGAAATGGGAGGTGAAGCGGATATCGTCGTCATCTACATCAAAAGGCAAGAAGAGGAGGTGATCTTGCGGTGTATACCAATATGGAATATATTTCAAGATTTTTTGTCTTATTTTTATATTGCGCGGACTTGAGTTCACCTATCATAGCCTTTCCGGGAGTAGTAGGTATCTGTTAGAGTAGCATGTTCCCCCCTCCTTCTACACGGACCCTCCTGAGTGCAAGTGCAAGTCTCAGAAGGGACGCGAGAGAAGCTCCAAGCATGGAAGTCTGATCCAGTCAACTCTTCTGCCGAATATTCCACCTTTGCAGCATCTCAATCCACGCTCTACTATCTGCCTGACTTCCCTCCGGGTCTCTCGCCCCGAGGCTTGTCGCTCTACCATTTTGATCCTCAATCCCCTTTCCAAGGGCTTCGTCCCTGATCCCTTAGATATCCAAGGATCTCAATTCTGATGCCTTGCAGTTTCATCCCAATTCCTGCAAACCTAGACCCTCACTCGGGATCTTCTTCTGGACGGGATTCCCCCATGCCTCAGCACAAGACTCGATAAATGACCCAAGCGCAATCTGATTGTCCTCGAAAACCTTAGCCGCCTTTGCACAATATGTTACTTCCTGCTCGTCCCCAATATTTCTCAAATACTGCGTCGCAACAATTAACGGCGTCCCCGCCCGGAACTGAGGCAACATGCCAATGTCAGAGCTCCAGATATAACGCATTCCTTTCCTCACATTCCTCGCGGCATCGTATTCGCTTTGTTGCACGAGCACTAGTCCGAGTAGCAGGTCTGTTGACAGGGCTCCAATGATCAAGGCATCGTGCGTGATTTGGGCTTCTGGACTGAGAATAGCTGGCAGGGGTTCGAGGTTCATGGTTAGTGATTCCTCGGCCGGCCAATCCTGGCTCCATTTCATCGCCACTCTCAACGCTTCGTAGAGGAGAAGCTTCCCTGCCCAATAGAGCAGCAGTGTTTGAGCCACCCAGGACGAGTGAAAAGTAAAGGAAGGTCCGAAATCGAAATCGGCTGAACTTATACCTTTATCAGCTGAGAAGGGCACGGCTACCATTTCGTGAAGGCTCGAATACCAAAGATTGAATTTATAATTCAGATGGCGCCACTGATCCAGGATCGATGTGTAAAATTCACGGGTTTCCGCTGTCCATGGCAGCAAAGAGAGCTGATCTGCTTGCTCAACTATCTCTCCGACGAGAGCTGTGATGTCGTCCAAACTTTCGCAAAGGTTGAGCACCGGACCATTTGATTTAATGTGGCTTTCTGGCCGCTTTACGCGCGCGAGAAGGCATCGTTTGCGAGTGCATAATGAGTTGGTGATCTATTCGCGGGTAAGAGAAGAACTTGAGTGCAGGGTATACTTAATTACCACCAATGTTCTAAAAATAATCCACGTCCTCACTCCATTAACTTCCGTCAGGTTCTCAGGTCCTGGAATCATGCCCGACAACTGGGCTCCTTCCACATGTTTTGCCCAACCGTCTCCTTTGGGTGTTGGACAATCGTACAACTGTAATAGTCAGCGGCCTCTCTTCTCCAAAGGCTTTGACACCCACCTCGTACAATGAAATGATAACTGCAGCAGTAAGCATCTTGAAGTCAGCGCGTTTCTTTCGCGCCACCTCTTGTATCTGCTTCAAAGCACGCGCAAAAGATATCCTTGCCATCCTGACAGCGTGTTCATCTCCTCGGGTCTTGCCTAAGTGGATCAAGCTCAGTGCTTGAAGGCTATACTCAATGAGAGGATCATTGGACGCAATATCTGGGAGCTTGAAGAACCACGTGGCTGTAGGATTCCCATATTTGACAAGGGGTGATATTTGAGAATCGGGTGTAACTGCGGTTGAGAATAGCTGGTTTAAATTGGCGGACGCTAGATTTGGGGTTTGCAGCGGCCAAGTTGAACTGGTAATTATCTCGAACTAGAACGGGATAAGCAAAATGGAAGAGAGGTTAGGACGATAACTTACTCGAGGGAGCTCTTGTTTTCTAGAAGCAACCGCATTACAAACTGCTAAATCCGGCCTGTGCTGATAAGACCTGAACAGAAATCAGCATTAGACATCATAGAAATTCTTTTGACTGGGTTGGAGAGGCAGAATTGCGGTTCCTATTGGAAAGCTTAAGTTGGTAAGAAACAGATGGTGTGTGAACGCGGCTAGAAAAGCATACTCTAACGGTGGCCTAGATGCAAGCTACAAGACGGAACACAGCCACTTACACAAATTCAAGTTTTGTGTCATCGTATCCAGGGCAAGTAATGCCATTATCGGCGCATCGGGAGCATGAGGGCTGTTCTGCTGTGCACTAGAAGGATGCACAGCATTAGTAAGTTATCTAATCGTCCGGCCTTCCTCCCTGGATGTGGCTATATACCTTGACTTTTCTCCTTCTACACTCGCGACAGCGAATCTTGTAACGTCTGCCCATGGTCTAACTCTTCTCGTCTTGTAAACGCGACGTGCAGCGCCTAGTGGATCGGCTATTATCGTAATAGGAACGTTACACTGGTCAGACTGACGAGCTCAGCATTCGGCCTGCACTTCCATTTCCTTGCACACTTGAATCTTGAACTTGGGAAACTGTTGCGCATGTCTTGGTCGATTATCAAAGAACTTTAGGAATTGAAAAGCTTTAAACACTTTCCGGCAATTGGTGTATTTCACGTAATTATGGGCTGGTCTGTGTCTCAAGAAGGATTTCCAATCTTCTAGTGGGCGATCATGTTTAAAAATAACCATAAAACGAAACCAATTTGGAAACGAAAGATTGCACAATGGCAATATTTGGAATAAAGAGCCCGCTGAAGTGAAAGTGTCTTTGAAAGATCAGATGGGGAATATAACGTGAGCTGAACATAGCTCTGTCATAACAGAGGGTATTTTACGTGCTTGTTACAAGATTAACGGTATGTTTGGAGGCATCTTTTTTATCACTCGAATTTCTTAGCGGATAGCTCTCTATAAATACCAAAGTTGAGAAGATAGCACCGGTATAGTCCAGCAGATTCAACAGCTCAAGTCACGTGTTAAGTTTAACGCGCCGAACGCCGAATCTTTAGCTTCGTCGGTTCGGATGTCACTTTATTCCGACGACAAACAACTGCCGACTTTTGTCCAGCACGAGCTCACAAACGCAGATATTCTCAACTCTCGGTGGAAAATGTATTTCCGATACTGCATCCTTGAATAACACTCCTACTATTTACTATTCGACTTTAGGTATCAACTCGCTTTGCCCCGCCGTCTTATCCGCGGTGTCCGCGGTTGGGAACTTCTCTCGTCTTCTAAATTCAGCTTCCGAGCAGGTATGATATGTGCTAGGGTATCTCTCTATCTGCGAAGTAGGGTTCAACAATGGCGAATTCGACCTCATGGGAGCCTATCTATTTCCCACCTTCTCAATAAAGCCGTATCTTGGTCAAGGGTATCGCTTTTGTCAGCAGACTCTAGGCAAGGCTCCATGCAACCCGCCCAAAATTGAATGGCCCTACGAAACCTTGCGAATAGCTTCGATGGACTGCCCGCGTTAGATTGCAAGGCAGTCGTAAAATGCAAGGAGTTCATGCGAGTATTACTGTGCTTATACAATACTCTTCAAATCAGCCGATTTATATTGATTCGGTCTTGACGGTGTATACGGTTGGTACGAATTAGAGCCGAGTCTAGGAAGTCATCCCGGCATGCAGGGTAATCAAAATCCTAGTGAAACCATCTCAACATTTTATATCTTCATCAACTGCCTTGCAAGGGAGGGTGACTGCAGCTTTCTATTCATCCTGGAAATGGTGTATCCCACCACGTTGTTCGCAATGGTCGCAACGGGTGCACTTTACTATCGACCGCCGAATCGATCCTTCCATTTCACGACCTTGTAATAATTTGTAGTAGTCTACAGAGAAGCTTGCCGCCTTTTGTTTCCCCTTCAGTTTGGTCCTGGAAAGGTCCATATTCTATACCACATTCATAATATACTTTTTCCACATAACCTTGTATTTACACACTTTTGAGATTCGCGAGGCCCGACCCGCTGGGACCTGCCTAGGATTATCTCGGGTTGTCTGGCTAAATCTTTGGCTCCACGTGTAGTGAGCCTCACCCTGCACGGCGACGCACGTCGTCTCTTAACATGGAGTGACGTGAGGCGAGGTGCAGAGACTACTAGTCCCCAACACTGCACATTAGAAGCAGACTTACAATCTTGGAAACGACTAACTGAATTAACACATATCCACATTTCAACAACCTGACAAACATAGGCACGAAGACGTACGAGAAGGATGAAAACACCTCAGAATATATAGAGGGTATGTTCTTCCTGGCCTTCAGAATTCGTTCCTCTCCATCACTAAGATTCCAACAATGTTGCTCTTTCTTTGCTTTTCGTCTTTGCTTTCATCGAGTTTCGCATCAAATGCATTTAAGCCCACTTCTACGGCTTTAGACAAAGCTTATATCATTCAACTTGCTCCGGAAACTGAGTTCTTTGGTTCCTTGTCCCGCCGAGACACCCATATCACAACGTTCCACAAGCGTGCGGCTTCAATAGAGTATGACGTCCGATACGAGTTCATGAATCCAGATGTCTTTCTCTGTGTTTCAATAAGGCGACTAGAAACGCCAGTGATAAGGAACTACTTGCTCAATTGACGGCCATACCTAGTGTTGAGTCAGTATCACGAGTGTACAGTTTCGGGATTCAACCTTGCCCAACATCTCCGCGCCTATGGATCCCATGCTTTCCTACTCAGACCCTCCTCAACTGAAAACTTCTGCTGGCGCAGGAAACCTGGGATCAAGTCTTCAAATGGGTGGTGTTGATAAGCTTCATGCACTTGGGATCAAGGGCAAAGGAGTCAAGATTGTTGTCGTTGATACAGGTGTGGATTATCGACACCCGGCTCTTGGTGGTGGATTTGGACCTGGTCACAAGATTGCGGGTGGTGCATCCTTTATAACGGATGATGGGAAGGTTGCCAACTCTACTGATCCTTTGACAACTTGCTTTTGGCGGTGGTCATGGAACACATATCGCCGGTATGTTTCTTACTCAATAAGAAGATTTATGCTAATCAGACAGGCATACTTGGGATGGACAGCGTTCCGGGTGGTTTCGATATAGTCGGAGTTGCCCCAGAAGCCACTATTTACATGTACAATGCTCTGGATTGTGAAGGACATTCCGTGGGTGACACCATTATTTCTACCTTGTCACAAGCTTTTGAAGACAAAGTTGACATTTTCAGCATGTCCATTGGAGCGGGGACACAGAGCTTCAGTAGTGCAGTCGATCCTCTAGCCGTTATCACCAAAAAGCTCACCGATGCCGGGATTGCTGTAATTGTTGCCATGGCCAATGACGCTGCAGGAAGTCCATATGCCCCAAATCTTTACCTTGAACAATGGCCTAGCACGGAAACGACTGCCATTGGAGTCGGTGCTATCTCCAACACGGATTTTCCGTTGGTTTATTGAGCCAAAGACTCGACGGGCACGATTATTCAGTATGCTTCAGTCTACCCGCTCAATGTCCCTGATGGAGTGGATGTTTATTTACTAGACAATGGGTGCGATACCAACGATTGGACAACCGCACTTTCGACAATCAAGGATATCAATAATACAATAATTGCATTTGGTACAAATTTAGCGGGCCAGGAATGCAAAGCCACAAGTGCTGAATCTTGGACTGGGTCTTCAATCAAACCGGTCTACATCATGGCGTATAATGGTCCTACCACAAATCCAGTGAACTCAGCCCAGGAAGATCCATATTTGTCCGCTTACGATACTCCAAGTCAAGGTTTCTTTGGAACAACTCAATTCATCAACGTTAACTCGGTGTATGGTGCAGAATTCACCAGCAATTATGCAGCTAGTGGTGGTTATTTGAAGTACCAGCTAAATTTCAAGAGTGGCAACTTCACAAGCGCTCCACAGCCTAGTGGAGGATTGATGGACTACTATTCTGATTTTGTCCGACTTGGCACGACTACACTCTGAAACCTCAAATCTCAGCACCTGGAGGTCATGTTCTCTCTACATGGCCACTCGGACCGCTTGGCGGTTATGCTATTCTTTCAGGAACATCCATGGCTACACCATATATTTCCGGATGTTTTGCTCTCGTCAAATCGCAGTTTCCAGAAGCAACAATCGAAGAAGTGAAGAACAGGCTGCAAGTCACCGCAAAACCTACCCCGTGGGTTTTTGATTCTTCAATTTTGGCAGCAACCCCTCAGCAAGGAGCTGGTCTTGTGAATGCCTATGATGCAATCTTTTCAACCAGTGTGATATCTCCAGGTCAGTTTACTGTAACGGACATCAGTCACACGGAATACGGCACTGCGAATATCACAATAGAAAACACATCTGGAAGCCCCAAGACCTACTCGCTCTCTCATCAAGGAGCCGGGTACATAGACTATACCCTTGATTACCAAGAAATGAGCCAACGCGCTATATACGGGACTGCAGCCTTTTCGCAGTTAAGCATCACCATCCCCGCTGGCCAACGATCATCAGTCCACGTCTCTGTTACTCCACCTTCTGATATCGATCCTTCTAAGCTTCCCGTTTTCAGCGGCTACATCAACATTGTTTCAAATGACAAAGATCTCCATGTTCCTTACGTTGGTTCCCCTTATTCACTTTTCAACACACCATACATTAAAATCCAAAATTCCACTTCCTCTGCCATCTTCCCACGCATTTGGTCATACAACCAAACCGTTCTCACTATTGACACCGGAGTCCTTGAATTTGTGGCGGAAACCGGCTTCGGATCCAGTCTTCCCACCCTTCAATGGACGCGTGAGTTCTGTGTCGATGTCCTTCCGGCAAATACAACTGTCCAAGCCAACAACTACGGCTTTGATAAGGACGCAGAATATGATTATAAACCTTCAGCCTTCACACCAAATTCTACGGTCTTTGGCCAGGAAAGTTTTGGCACGTTGACTCTGTCGCTGGGATATAATTGGCCTAGTGGTAACGGTATTTTTCGATCTGATACCATTGTCACGGGCAGTGATGGCGGGAAGTGGGCTATAGGTAATGGTGATTATAGGTGGTTGGTTAGTGCGCTGAGGTGGGGTGGAGTGAGTGGGGTGTTGGGGGATTATGATACTTGGTTTTGTTAGTAAATGAGCATTTTCTGGGTTTGGGCTTGCAGGGTGTCATTCATCTATGATAGATTTGGTAATAATAATGCTTGCGTTCTCCATTTTAGATTAGATTAATTTTAAACCTGCCATCTAATCAAGACTACATCTGCTCGGAGGCAAACAATTGGATTCACATATAAAATTCTGATACTCTTTGTCCTTTCACGCCTTGCAACTTTTCTACACTACTTTATAGTTCTTGAATGCCCTAGTCTTAACCTTCCTTTCAAACATCAGATTCAACTCCTCGTACGTGCGCCCTCCTGTCTCTGGGATTCTATACCAGCACCATATAAGACTGATAACAGATAATCCGCCTTGAAGATTTATTGGTTAGAATAGAGCCTTTTGCGAAACAAGAACGAACTTACCGAAGAAAAATCCCATCTTTCCTCTCCAATTTCCCTGGTCTGGATTTATCATGTATGGAATGCCGACTGTCATACCAATTGCAAAGAGTGCCTGAGTTGCGGTCGCGATAGCGATCGTCTTGGTACGGAGTTTAGTAGCGGATACCTCAGAAATAAAGGTGTAGCAGATAGGGCCGACAGAAATGTTAAACAACAAATTCCAAATCATCTGGACATTGCAAAGTCAGTCAAAAGGTATAAATGCAACCGATCTGACCACGAATATAACGTACCATAAGAATACATTCAGCCCAAATGTCGCCCTTCTTGTTTAAATAGTCTGGTGCAAGATCCAGGAAGCCAATAGCAAACATAACCACTGTCATCAAAGCGAGTCCAATGTTATAGATGCGGCGGCGACCCCACAGGGAAAGAAGGCACCAGGCTATACAAGTTCCAACGAAGCCTACCGCCAATAGACCGACACTCATATCAAATGACTGTCTAGTATTTAAACCAGCAACTATAAAAGGTTATTGCTTGATCTTGAGAGGTGGGGGGGAGGGGGCGAGTAACGCTTACGTTGGAAAAATAAGGTAGCATAATTAATAAGATAAATACCACTGAGCGCCTGGATGACAAAAACGCCTATTGAGATTTCGGTTCGACGCAAATTAACCTTCTTGAAACAATCGCAATAGGTAGTTCCAGTCTCCATTTCATATTCCAGCCTATCTGTTTCTATCATTATTGCTAGTGTCAACTTGTTATTAACAGACGATGAAGATAAACGATTGAGGGACCTTTCGGCGTCCTCGTATCTTTGTTTCCTGACCAGCCACCATGGTGATTCAGGAGCGAATGGAAGTCCTAAAAGGATAATGGCAGGCCAGAGCCATTGGAGTGCGAATGGAGCACTATAGGCCCAGTGATTATTTATTTGAGAAGTTTCAGCAATCACCCCATTTGCGAGTAATTGGCCAATCACGAAGCAGAGGTTGATAAATGCTGTAAGGTGACCGCGAAGTGCAATTGGAACTACTTCAGATGCGTAGGTTGGGGCGATAGTAACATACATGCCGAGGATGAGACCTCCGATAAGTTCTCCAACGAGAAGTACTGGGAGGCTCCTGGCAAAGAATTGATTGAAAATGAATGCTGATGTTCCGATTACACTAACCCCGAATGTCTAGAAGGTTTAGCCTGGGAGCTTTGGTCTAGGATGTCCTCACCTTTTTACGGCCATACCATTCCATGGGATATCCTGCAAGAAGAGCCCCAACGATTTGGCCCAGAGGATTCCCCATCCCCAAAGCAGTCTGCCAGGATGCAGTAATTATATACCCTCCATTGAATAGTATGCCAAAATCTTTTTGGAATGCTGGTGTTGCGTATAAGCTCCCGAGCAGTTGAGGGTCGAAAGATGCCATTATGATACCAAGAGAAAAGAATGACGACCATCCAAGGGCTTTCGGGTATAGCTTCAGGCCTTGTTTAAAGGACATGCGATGTTCCAACTCGGTGGCTCGACGGGATTCCTCCCCAATCTCTTGCATCCTGCCAATACTATTCATACAAGGAGTCTCTCTAACTCCTTCCAAATCCACACCTTTCTCGATCGATTCCATTTTGGCGACAGGAGACGATCAAATGTGTTAAGCGATGAAGTAAGAATATCCACGGGCAAATCGCTTTACTGAGTGCCCAGTATACTAAACGTTTGGAAGGATAGCAGGAATATGTCGGCCTAATCTCTGAAGAACAGATAGACTCAACTGCGATAGTAAGAATTATTATGTAGGAAAGAGTGCTTTCATTCTTGGGTAAAGGGCCCGCAATAAAGCGGAAGCAGTGCTACATGAAGTGTTACATGACCGGAAACTTGATAATTCTTCTGATAAGCCGCGCTTCTTGTTGCCCCCGTATCCCTGAAAAGGCTTGGAATATATCGGTTATTGACGGATTCACAGTAGATAGAAAGAGAAGCACCAGTGATAATGTGACAGTCAAGTCGTACATCGAAAGTCGATGATGAAAAGTCGCACAAGGCGTAGATCGGGGGCGTCTGTCTGCTGTTCATTTGGCGGGATTGTATAACCTGAGCCCACGGTCATTATAACATCAAAGAGCACAAGACTTGAAACTCCTATCTGTAGTGATACCGCTATCTTTTATCTGGCGCATGGGTATGCCAGTAGTAATTGTCCCATCTACTCACGGATTCGAAGCTCTCCAGGAGAACATCTCATAGTAGCTGGAATATTTTCTTTTTAAAGCTAGATGTCACGGCGTAGAGTAGTGTAACTCCATGGAATGGGTACGCATTGCATGCAGTGCCATTTGAGCGGTTCTCGAAGAGTTTCGCTGGGTGCCGTAAAGTTCTCTTTTAGGGATATAGGCCCGATAAGTTGTTCTGAGGTAGGGCAAAGCTTCGCTTTCGGAGATGGCTTCAGCTTTCCAGAGCCCTACAATAGAAGGCCTTGGCCTACTGATAAAAGTAAATTTTGATCGTAGTTTAAAGGACATAAAATAGTAATTCAAGACTGTACAACTAGAAGCTTCATTGAGAATTTAGCATTGATAAAAATATCTGTTACAAAAGGCGCAAAATAGTTGGCAGCATTTAAAATGCAAAATAACGCCTGATACCTGAGGATCAAGGACTGCGGAGCCAACTTCATTGTTCTTATCTAAAACAATACACGGGACTAAGGTCATACATAATTTTCGCTAGTAATACTTTTGCAAAAGCGTGGGGTCCTAGTACAGAGGCCTGGTTTAGGCTGCATAAGACTTCTCTATCAACCCAAATAAACATAAAGAAATCAAGCAAATGACGTCTAGTTGTACCAAGCTTGGCTTGTACGATGTAAAATCTAATTCTATATACATTGCATCTTCCCATCAAGGGCACATTAACTCACACCTCTTCCTCCTTCACTTTCACATCTCCTTTGCCTTTGCCCTTGCTATCAGGGTCAGCGAATGGATTGCCGTCCTTCTCATCCATCGAAGACTCCCCAGAAGCTGAGCTCCTCGAAGGGTTAAGGTCCCTTACGAACAGGTCCTTGCCAAAAGGGAAGGTGGTCGGCTTTCTTGGCACAGGGTCCTGACTGGCATTCTCCCAAATGCTTAGCGTCAATTTCTTCCCCATCGCCTCAATTGGCGGCGTCAAAAGAGGTAGACTACCGAGTAACGTCCCGTAACAAATGATCCATGTCAAGAGTACACATAGCCAGTACGGACACCCATAGGAGAATATTGAAACCATGGCCCATGATCCCACCGACCAAAAGATAAACCCGTGGATCAAGTAAATTGTAAAGACGTGAGGGAAAAGCCACTGTAGAGGTTTGATCGAGAGGACTTTTTGAATAGCTGGGCAGATTTCAACAACCAATTGCATGCTGACCGTTGTTATAAGTGCGTTTAGTCGAGGAATAAAGTAATCCGGATACACGGCCTTTCCTGCCTGAGAGATGGTGAGGCCAGTCTCTGTGTCCGGGTGCCTACAAATTATTAGCGCTGTATTCTTTTTGAAGAGAATGAGCGAGTTTATGAAATTGTCTTCATAGATCTCAACACATGAGAATTAAAGATGGGGGGAGGGTTTAATTACCATCCGTATTCGCTTTCTGCATAATTGACACCAGTCCACTGTGTTACAAGGTCGAGGGAAAAGCCGCCGAGTGCAGTTGCGATCAGGAACCACAGGACTGGATAATAAGCCCAGGGTCTGGGATGGAGCCAGTCTTTGTACTTGAAGGTTATGTCCAAGTCCGCCAACAGTACGCCAGCATAGTAATAGCTTCCCCAAGAAAGACCATACCAGTGCTGTGAAATACATATAGCGTAAAAGAGGAATCTCTTTACAGGACTTTTGCATTCGCGGACCATAATAAGTGCAAGTAGTGTTTGCCACGCACCCTGTAGTTGAACGGGAATTGTCCAAAGAACACCTGTACAATAGTTGTAGGTAATCATTGGAGCAGCGTTGGGAATCAGGTACGCAAGCTGAATGATCTCACTTATGAACACGCCAGGATTTGGGACAATTGTGGTAAAAGGCCATGGAGACCACGTGACAGATGGCAGGTACTCGAGCCAGTGAAGAGCTCCAGAGTCCATAAGGAAGTACTCAAGTGTTGCAATAGAGGCTACGGGAACCAAGAGACGGAATGGGCGTGCAACAATCTTCTGGGCCATGTTGTCCAATTTACCGGTTCGTAGATAGTTCGACGTGAGGAAGCGTGTAGATATCATGAGAAATGGTCCGATCCATAGAGGGTCGAGGAAATATGTTGCAATTGTCTTCCTGGCCCACGTTTCACTTTTGTAATGTGGACGTACGGATGGAATGATGACCGCTGCCCAGAAAGTCAGGCCAAAGTGATTCATTGTCACGAGAATAGCACTCATTGCAATGAAGCCAGCAAGATAGTCTATACGCTGCTGCGTAGGTTGAGGGTTGGTTTTTTTTGTTTCCCCAACAGCTGCAACGTTAACCGTAACTTCGGGTCTTTTCCCATCTGCACTGCTTTGGGGCTGATCAATCGCTGATTTTGTTGTGAAAGTTGGTTCCAGGACTGTTGGAAGGCTTGAAGAAGGTGCCGAAGTTGGTGAGTATATAGATGTGGCAGGAATCGGCGTTATCGCATCGAAGTCAGTGGCCACGCGTGGCAATGTCGGGTGGGGTCTTGATTTCATGTAGAGATTTCCCACAGAATCAGAACGAGGCAGCGGTTGAATTGCCAGATCAACCTCGGAATTGTCCCGTGACGGCCTTTGAGAAGTGAACGGCGTCTGATATTCAGGAGCCGGTGTGTGGGCACCAGAATATGTTGGTGGAGCGACAAAGCTAACGTAAGATGGCTCTCTTGGCAGCCTTGGGGATTCCCCTTCTGAACTAGAACCGTTGGTACTTTGGACATCCGCATCCTTCTTTTCAGGATCTGCAAATGGATCGGGTGAAGTCGTAGAATGCAAAGAAGGGGTTTGTTCTGCCTTGGAGATTCTCAAAAAGGCAGAGACCCTCGCCCAGGAGATTCTCCGCCCAAAAGACTTCGCAGTGAAAAGAAGAGAGACCGAAAGAAAGACGATATCAATTATAAGAGGAGCCCATGGGATCTTCCACTTTGGATTATGTTGTTTCCAAGGCTTGAGTGCTTCAGAGGAGTAATTGGAAGACCCGCGAAGGGTAATATCATCCATACTACAAGCCGCAGTTGGAGTGCATCTTTGGTCGAATGCCGCGCGTTCCTCGTCGGTTGATACAGAAGAATTGAAAAAAAGTCGTGTCCAGGCAAGGTTTGCCTGTGCGCGCCGTCCTGGTGGCCCTTGAGTGTTCTGTCCAACAAATTAGCACGGCGAAAACTTCAAGTGCTTAGAGAAAGCTGATGCACGGGAATATAGGATCCAGCTCCCAGCTTCCCCCTAAGAAATATGAGCATGAGAATAAGCCTACCAAAGGGTTTCCAAGCGACCAGTGCTGCCAGCGGAGAGCTGCTGGGGTCATGGGCAAACTGCCGTTGATCTCCTTAGTGAAACTTTGCATCAACTCGCCGCCAATATAATAGTCGATACGGTCACGTGTCCAATCCACACGGTATTCCATGTAATACCAGGGTCTCATGTCGGCAGCCATGAGATCTGTAAAGTTCGCTCCAAGCCAGACATCAGAGAATTGGCCCTCAGCAAGCATAGCCACCCAAGCCGTGCTATTGGTGTCCGTGTTCATTACATCCACATTCCAAGTCTCGGTTTGGTTATGATGTATAAGCATAGACAACGCTGAGCCATGCAGCCACTGCCGTGGAGCTCTCATCGAGGTCCGGAAAGAGCCAAAGAAAAGATCCTGACGTGCAGTTCGAACACTGCTACCAACAACAAGGCCATGCTCGTCCGAAGGGTCGCAATAAAGTGCTAGACCTGAAAGATTGCCGGCTGTTGTGTCGTTGGCAATTACTACGTTCTCCTTCGCAGCGCCTTGACGGTATACGGCATTCCAGCCTCGATCATACTTGTGCTCAAATGATTCGACAACAACATCGTCTGGTATGGTGTCCGTTTCGTTGAAATAGATAATAGAGCTATCAGTAAAGACCATGTCGAGTTGCGGGTTGTAAAAGCCACACGTGCAGTTGGCAACATCTTGGGCGGCTGGTTCTTGCCCAACAGCAAACGACAAGAAGCAGAATAGAGTGAAGATCAAAAAAGACATCTTTGGAACGGATAAATGCAGATACAGAAAGAGAAGAGACTTGGCAATGGCGGACAAGATAAATGTAAGAAGAGGCGTAAAGGTGCTAGTAACTGGCTTTCCATTCACGGAGGTGTGGAGTGATGCACTGGCGGTTGATAAGAGCGCCGAGAAGCTACCAGCTCAATAAAGAGATCTTCAAAAGGGAACGGGGATTCAAAGTTTTAATCCCTTGCAGCACATGCTTGAAGCGGGAGCTGCGACCTGGGCAATCCACTTATAACTTCACCTGATCTTGATTTACAGTATATCCTAAACGCTTATTAGCCGTGTGAAGCCTAAAGGGGCATGTCCTTTTAGGGGTCCATGCTCTCACAATAGTAATGACCGTGTTAGGTACTAATCAGAAAACAGACCTCGGAACCTGGCCAGGAAACTTCCCTGCAGATGCATACATAGATGTAGCAGATAAGGATGGGGACCGCTGCCCAGCCGTAGGTGCATGCAACGGGGGGCAGGGAAAAGCACATCTTGAACCCTGCATTCCACGCAAGGCGCATCTCGTGTTGATCTTTTCGATTTTAAGATATGGCATTTTGGCCATTTCCCCTTTAAGTGCCAAAGTCGCTAATGCGGAAGGATCAACATACGTGCAGCCGCCGCTCGGATCGCAAATTGGCCTTTCTCGGACGTGAAAGAAATCTTTTATTTTCCGACTTACCTAGCTAGGTAGTTGTTTCGTTCAGAAGCTGAAGAGAATCGTCCGATCATATCCATTGGTCAAAAGTATGCACCACTTACGGACTACTATCCATATCTGCTACACCCTTTTCTATAGACTTTCCGAGATGACTTTACTCCGTACCTCCAGCCATGCGCTCGATTTGCTTGCCATCCTTGTATCGCGGCTGAGCTATCCCGGAGCGGCAGGTTGTCCATCGGCACTTTACAGTACTCTGTGATAAGCAAGGCTCAGAATGTTGGCCCGCTCAAGCTTAACTATTGCATAGAATCTCACTATGTTGCTCTCTGTCTTGCCTCGTTGTCTTGGCTTCACTCATTCATCATTTCTTCCAAGTGTCAATCATCAGCTTCACACGAGGAACCCACGCCGCCATGGAAATATCAACCGTTAGCACAAACGATGTCTTTGAGGGCACAAGTCGTCCATCGCGGACAACACGAATTCGATCAAGCCTTGCCATACTCTTCAGAGACATTTCTTCGGCTTTGACCGCAGCTTCAGATGGCGTTCAGGATTGGACCCCCTTCTGTTTGGTAACATCATACTTTGCCTTCTCAATCTGCATCTATATCGTCGCATCTTCTGGGGTTATAAAGGTCTTTTGGTTCTTCTATCTTATGACCAACACCTATATAGCCAGTGCCACCGTTATTGAGGCAATGCTGAGCATTGGGCCAGTTCATGCAGCCAAGAAGGCCGCCGCAAAGGTGGCAGCAAACAACTGGATCTTCCCAACGCCTGATGCCGACCTCCTAACATTGGACATTAACATCGTTGCCTATTTGCCAAATGAACAAGACATCATTATGGATCGCATCTATTACATGCTCGAGAAAATAATCTATCCAAGAGACAAACTCTGCATCAACGTTCTTTACAACACTCCTTACCCCATCGAACCACTGGAAAGCGAAATGCGCAACCTGTCTTTGAAACACCCAGAGTTGAGGATAATCAAAGTTCCCAATTCCACGTCGAAGGCCGATAATATCAACTTCTACTGTTCTCTCGACACCGGGGCTAACGTTTCGGCCATCTATGATTGCGATCACTATCCCCATCCGTACGGCCCCAGATGGGCAATGGAACGTTTAACATCAGACAAAAAAGTAGACATTGTCCAAGGACGGTGCGTTATCTTCAACGCGGATACAAATCTGATGACAGCCATGATTGCGGTTGAATTCGACAAGATCTATGCCGTCTCGCATCCAGGGCGATCAGCGATGTTCGACTTTGGCCTATTTTGCGGTTCCAATGGGTACTGGAGAACGGACTTGCTAAAGGAATTGAAGATGGATGAAACGATGCTTACGGAGGACATTGACTCTGCGCTCCGAGCATTTGGTCATGGGGCAAATGTGGTGCATGATCTCAATGTTACCTCATTTGAGCTTGCTCCCACGTCGTGGTTCGCTTTCTGGAAACAACGGCTCCGTTGGTCTCAGGGCTGGGTGCAGGCTAGTATCCGACACGCGAATCTCATCTGGAAACCGAGCGAAGTGGATGGCAATACTCGAACATTACGCCAGCGATTCGGACTACTCTCCCTTCTTTGGGTTCGGGAATCCAGTTACTACCTCATTTCCCAATACCTGTGTCTTGTCTTTAGTATCATCATCACCGACTTTCCAAAATCTGGCACTGAGCTCTATAAATTGGTCTTCTTTCAGTACCCGGTGGCATGGTGGCTCTTTATTCTCAGGTATGCTTCCTCCTTGTACTTTTCTGAAGTTGACAGCTCACATGATTTCTTAGTCTTGTTTCTCTATTCGGCACACTGTATATCACTTTCCACACCAGATCAGAGTTCATTCGATGGTGGACGATTGGTATCTTTACAGTTACCTTTCCCGTTCAACTTGTGCTGACTGCGGTGATGGGGCTATTCGGACATGCACGGCAAATTAGTCACTTTGTGAAGTGGGAGGCTACGAGAAGAGGTTAAGAGGTGCCAAGATGTTAACTGCATACTAGAAAAGTATATTGCAGGACCTCCATAATTATAATTGAACTATCAAATAAATCAACGTTAAATGCAAAGATCGACATCGATAATCTACAGTGCAGTGCAGGGTCCGAATTACCCCTGAGGGTGGCCACGTAAATCCCTGTAGTGCAGTGGTACGAGTACGGGGGTATTCGGGTATGGAGTTAGTCTCTGTCCCAACCGCTATTCGGGCCTATCACACTACGACAGGTCTTACTTGGCCAACGGTGCAAACTATGAAACGTGTAACGTGAGCTCGTATAAAAGATTTAAACCTTATATGATGTCACCTTTTGTTTGATGTACTACTCTGTAAATACGAAGTAATTATCTTCGCATTCTCAAATATAGTAGGTTGGTTACTACTGGTAGACGGTGGTAGTTGTGGTAGTATTCCAAGTACCTAGTACCTACTAGGTCCGTAGACTAGATAAGCTTATTACTCCATCCAAACTTAAACCCGCGCCTCAGCCGAGCGCCACACGAGAAGCATCCTTGAACCTTGTAATGTAAATTTTAGCCTCTTTCCTAAAGGGCACGGCCCTTGCATCCAAACCCTGCATCCAAGCCCTCCATCCAAACCCTGCATCCAAACCCTCCATCCAAACCCTGCAGCACCTCCATACTCCGTACGGAGTAAGCCCATGTCCACCCCCGGCCTCAGCCAGCCCAACTACTTCGTATTGAACTTCCTAAACGGCATCTGCCGATCCTGTTTCCCTCCGGTAGCACCGGCATGACACCTTCGAGGCTTCGACCGAGAGGATTGATAAGGTATCTATCTTGTTTCGAGGTGATGGCGTCAAATGGTTATCAGACTACATTCGGAAGGCCGGCCGATTCAGATTTTCAGGTGAGATGGCATCGAATCGTAGCCAGACTACATTTGGAAGGCCGGCATATGTTGTTCATTGGCTAGTGCCTCTGCAGTACACATATCTTGGCGTCTTGGCTCTTGGTAAAAGGATACTTTCTCCTTGGGCACGACAAAAGTGCTCTCTGAAGCTGTTAGTCATTTCTCTTGTTTCCTTCTTTGCTCTCCAGCAACTCTCAAACCATGGAGAACCTCAAACGAATCATTCAACAAACCGAAAAGCTCAAAGCCAGTCCGCCTACGGTCTACGACCAACAGTATCTGCTAGGTTTCCGAGGCCTGCTGGTCATCGAAACATTCCTCCATGTCTTCCTTCAAACCTTTGTTCCTGTGGCTGTAGCCACCTCCGCCAACCCAGATGGCCGTCTCTACCAGAAAATCATTCGGAAAACGCTTTCGGTTGTTTTCTGGAACGAATACTTTCTCTACGGTGCCATAATATTCCTCTCGGCCCGGTCAATCGCTATTCCATTCATCAGAAGCGAGGCCAAAGATCGAAGTAGCCGTATCGCAAGATCAGTCCTCTGCCGTAGTATAGCCCTAAGTCTTCCTGTCGCTGTCAGCCTAGCAATTTGCAAGCTTGCCTTCACCCATAAGAATTTGGATACAATTTCTCAATTCAAGGACAGTACTGGCAACAAGTCCATAGAAGTTCCTTACTTTATACCCAACACACTTGCATATTTCAACTCGGTATTCAACCTCTTCTGGACATCGCACGACTGGCTTTTGTCATCTGGTAGTACGGCGTTCCCCTCTCAAACACTGTGGATGATAAACGCGGTGTACGTTCAAAGCTACACTGTCTATATGACCATGATCATCATTCCATACACCCGGAAGAAGTGGAGAGTGCAGACCGCCTTTGGATTTATCATTACAGCGTGGTGGGTTCAGTCGTGGGCTTGGTTCACTATTTCTGGCTTGTTGTTCTGTGACATGGTCATGAACATGGACTTTCAGGGTTGTGCGCAGCGTGGAATTCCTATCAACATCCCACACCAACGTTTTCAGAAATCAGATGGCTCTCCACGCCCATTGCGCGTGCCCGTTTGGATACCAGCTGGTTTCTGCCTTGCCGCGGGGTTCTTTATGCAGTTTGCGTGGGCAGCTTGGCGTCCGGATCTATTCGATAAAGAGTACGAATATCACACTGGGTTGTACTACACGGCTGGCCTGAACTATGAGTATAAAACTCATCACACTTATGCGCGAGACGACATCTATCTCATCCTTATAGGGTTCTTCACTTTTCTGGAAGCCTACTCCGTTCTTCAGCGCATCTTTGAGAATAAACTTTTTGTCTACCTTGGAAAGAGGTCCCTGAGTAAGTGAATTTTCTACGCTAAATCCATATTCTATGCTAATGTCCCAACTAAAGGTTACTTTTTGATACAATCTATCATCATCTACACTGCTGGAATTAAAGTTTTTACACAGACACGCCAACACGACGGCGCAAATTTCCCAAGCTCTACTATTGCAGCGCTTGTTACGTGTCTCGTGACGACTATACCAGCAGCCGAATTGTTCTACCGGTTGGTAGAGTTACCGAGCAAGGTTTTGGCTCATCGGTTCTTTGATATCCTTGTAAAATAGAGAACTAGCTTTGGTGGAGAGAACATAGAATTCAGACTAGGCTTCAAAACGTTTAGATATTAAGAGTCTCCAGATTGCACATTCATGGTATGGAGTTTAGTTTTGTTTTGTTTTTTTAACGCCGAGGGAGGCAGACCGAAGGTCTCCTTCAAGCCTCCCGAGGGGCATTAGGGCTTGACTAGCTAGGTAATACTTCGTCAGAGGCGTAAATATTCCGCCAAGAAGACCAGGGTAAGGGGGCCTTGATTTGGTGCGTTTACTACCGGTATTTCTTAAGCCCCCTGCTATAGAATTCTGGCGGGATACGGAGTAGTTACGGGATAGTTACGCCTGTGACGAAGTAACAAGTGTATACGAAGGCACCAAACCCAGGAGCCAAGACTCAGCCATATAGGCGCCGGGCAAGTTCCCTTCCAGCCAGGATTCTCCCTCTTCATGTTCTGGTGGAGTCGTTGCTAGGCTCGGAGAAAGATGTAGCTCTGTGATACCACTGATACCGCGTATATTTCTCTGGAATAGTCCAGCACGGAACGAAGAACGACCGATTGATGCCCCACAGATCTTCAGAGTTTCATACTGGTAGATAGGATGAAGATTTACCTTTGCAAGTTCAAGATTGGACCCAGGGTTTCTTTCGCCAAGCTTTCCGCCAAGCTTTCCACCACGCAATCAAAGTGGTGTTACTTACCCCTGAAGCTACCAAAAGTCCGGCCTTATCACTTGGACGGCCCGTGCAGCCGGAAATACTCCGGGCTAAAGAGCGGCAGTCACGTACGGAGTATCACAAAGTTTTCATGTCCCGCGTCTAGCACATGATAAAACTACGCTGTTACTTTTTTATCGTGGACTACGATAAGCCAGCTTGCCCGCGATGCCCCTCCAAGATCCCTAAAGATAACGGCAGCGGTTGCTCCGAAATCACGCATTTCAGAAAAGGCTGATTGATTCCATTAGTAATGTATTTCCAGAAATCAAGAACCTTAAATGAAGGCAAAAGCACATTAATCGGTAAATATTGATCATCAAGCAAGGCTAGACGTTTAGGAATATTACTTCACTCTTTCTTTTTTCCTAAGTCTGATATAGTGGGGACTGTTAGCGTGGAAATGAGACCCTGCATATAAAACTTGCTCTTCACCCTAGTATAAGATAAGATCAATAGATTACCAAGAAAGATAATAGCTGAAACAATCTTGAACGTAGGTGGGACTTCTTACGTATTGCGAGGCTCGGAGGCTTACGACTACGAGCTGAGGGTTTTCAGGGATTCTGTGCATGCGTCGAAGCAAATATTGAATGTAACTCTATATTCATTGATCCTTGGAAAATATACTAGTAGATTGCGTGCCCATAAACTTTTCAAAGCTTCAGCTGAACAACCTTTGTCGTCTAACAAACCTGTATCAAATCCACTACTAAGCGTAAATAGATAGAACTATAATGTTGTGACTTACTCTTTACCCTAGTATATATTCTTGAAATCCAAAACATAAAATTAATCTTAAAGTGGGATGTGTAATTTACAGCCTCTAAAGGCCCTATGATCCCTGGATCTAAGATCTTTACCGCGGAATATACATCTATGGAGTAAAAATAATAAGACAGTGAGACTTAAAAAGAGCAATTTTTCAAATAATATAACAGTGGAGCGCAATGAATGCCCAAAGGCTAAGGTCATATCTTGACGCCACATTCGTTATACTATTTTAATACGTGCAGACTTTGATGTAACAGTGAGCGGCGCGGCCCTCTGCATATTCGCCGCGTGGAGGCAAATCCCAGGTTGATACTTGGAATCGGCACGAAGGGTCGTATAGTAAAAATCTAGACCATGGTATTATGACCATTGTGGATCAAACACTTTTCGTACCTGCAGCTGCAGCTATATCTGTGCAGCTGCATCCGAGAACCTGATGCGACATTACAAGGTGCGGAAGCAGAATATGCAGAAGAGGTCATAGTTTTAGATAACTGATAAATAGGACGAAATAGTACTATTATGGTAGTTATCCCGATTAAGAATGGGGTTATGGTTGGTGTTAGCAGCGTGATGAGATAATGGAATTGATTTATCCAGTTCCTTGGTTTTAAAGAAGCTCCAGCTGGTATCAGGGATGCCAAGAGCGACAACGGAGAATGGACTGGTAAAAAGCAAACGAAGTTGTTGTGGAGAGGGATGAAATAACAAGTAAGATGTAGTTCAAAGGACAAAGTTGCTTCTATTCAGCAAATATGCTATAAAGGAATGTGGAAGACGAGATGATGCAAAATCGCCCTAAAGAAAACCCGAGTTTATTGAAAAGGAGATAACACAAGGTGGGTGTACATGCTACAATGATTCAAGTTTGAGATTAGCTAGTAATCAAATCAAAACTCCTTCCCTAGCACTGACATATGGAAAGTCTTCGACGGCATTGAAGGCTAACATTGACCCATCATCCTCTACTGGTTTTTATACACTCTGGAATGCATACGCTGTCGCGATTGAGAACTCGTCACCAAGGACCGCAAGGCCGGTGTGGGCAACTACGAAGAGCGGAAAGTACATTGTCACGGCCAGAGTTGAAGAACGCTGGCGATAATCAAGAATAATCGCATAGTGGCTAGAGATGATGCCAAGCCTGTTGAAGAATATAAAACGAGGCATACTTAGGGAGGGACGGCATGGAGTTCTAGGATGTTATACCATAAAGTCCTGGTAGGAAGATCTTGCGGAGTAAGGTTGCAAGCTGAGGCATTGTATTAAGTACATCAAGTCAAGCTAGAAAGGTATTCCCTATGAATGTTACACTTTCCTTCCTACATGAATCGATCGGCTGTCGTGAAAGCATATTTAGCAAATAGTTAGTATATAAATTAAGAAGAAGAAGACTAAACAAAGGTCTAGGAAATATAAGCAATAAAGATATAGACAGCGTTTCTAACCTCCTATCTCACCTAGTTTTGATCCTCGAGAATGGAAAGTCGCCTAAAAGGAGCTGGAAAGCAGGATAGGAGTGCTAGCTAGAAGTGGAAAGTCAAAAAAGCGATACCTTCAAATAATCCTTGAAGCATTAGAATGCTAGCTAGAGCACTCTCATTAGAAGCAGATTAGAAAATATGAGAGAGGCTGGCTGTGGGAACGTTCATGCTCTCACATCTCTATGGGTGAGACAGAAGATCTAATTCGCCGGATATGGATGTAGCAGTGGCAGACATAACGATGCACGAATTTCAATAAGGGGCATTCAATATTACTGGTGAAAACGCTACAGAGCCATAGTGCACAGAAGGGATGAGGTGAAGGAGGGGTGCTTTTCCTAGGGAAAAGGTTATACAGTGACCTGCTAACACATGGGGAATAAATTGAGTAAATTGAACAGTGCGAACCGCGTCCAAATAAATTTTCCCTGTACCAAAGACCAATTACTTTACGGGAACTGCAACTCCACTAGCCACAGCGCGAAAGAGTAATAGCTAAGGATCCATTACGCTTGCCCACTTTGCAATGCGAATCGGCATACGGAGGTAGTGCTATCATCTTGCCTAACGCTGAACATGACTTTGTCAATTCTTGTATATGATCTCGAAGAAGCAGTTCTCTACTCGATGCAGCGTCGACTTCAACGACCTTGAGTTGTGGGATGAGTGCTAGTGAGAACAATTTAAGATGCAGACGAATTACAATAATAAACGCGTAATAAAATAATAGTAACTCTTTCGCTTGAAATTGAGCCAACAGATTCGGCAAGCAGCAACTGATCTGGTCATCAATCTATCGTGAAAATTCAATGACTGGCAAAACTCTTAACTCTATGGTGCCGCTTGTTCTACCCACGGCGAGGTTTCTTCCCTTGTAGAGACGGCCGTAAAATACTCTAGAAGTCAAGGTGATAACCAGTACTGTTTAAAACTCAATTTCATTCGATGGATAGAGTCCTTGTGAGCCTGCCGTAGTGTTCTAGAAGGAATAGTGAAAGAGCAGAAAATAACATATAGCGATTGAATTCGGTCATTAAATACCCATGTATGAAAGAGAAAGAGACTTATTCTACCCGTTACTCAATATGTCTTGTGCGATATAAATTTATGAAGGTTTCAAGATGTTGTTGACCTATGTGACCTATGCTGAGTAATCCATAGTCCTGTGGCTGGAAAGCTAGCTCTAGTTCCAACGCCTCGAGCGCCTCCACAGCGGCACAGAAAACGGCGAAACGGTGAAACGGTTTTAGAAACGGGTTTAGACGAACGACACAACTTCTGTCTTTCGGGCGCCAACAGCCTACAACAGCCCCCAATTTATGTCAAAGTTTCCTGGATGTTCCCTATTAGCTTCCCCAACCCGAGTCCCAGGGCATCATTATGCCTATGCAGAATGACCTGGCTAGCCCAGCTCAGCCCTGCACACTCGTACTCCAGGCGCAATACGCCGTACCGAAGCAGCTTTTACGAAGTGCCCCGCACTCGGTATACAGTAGTGCTTCCTTCGTACAGCAAGCGTTTGTTTTGCTTCATGTCAAGCTTTACCAAGTGGGGAGGAAGCTTTGTTGGCTGTTGGCTTTCTGTTGGTGGCGGCAGAGCTGCCATTTCTCGCTCTGCTTTCACACTCTGTCCCACCACTGTGCTACATACTAAGTATTTTCATCTTTTGGTTGCGCATCATTCATGATTGTTGGAGTATTAAAATCACAAAGGTCGATCGTTTTCTCACCAGCAGCTTGGCGCCACGCCACAGAAAGCACGGATACTTCCTCCCCCACATGAAAAACGACCTGAACTAATCTTGCCTGGCCCTGGGCTTGAAATCATAACCAAAAGCATGTCCGCCAATGCAGGAGAGGGAGAGGGTGACCAGCGCCGTCTGCTGCAGAAAGAAGACAGTATATCCGGGTTGTCTGCCGCCGCAATTGCTTCACCAAAGTCTACCAAGTCTCCAAACCCTGCAAGCTCTCCGATTCTGCGCCAGGGATACCACCGAATGGACTCATCCCCCGGCCTGGACGACGCTATTTTGAGGCACTCTCCAAAACCTTCGATCAATCCATTCTTTGAGAATGACGAGCAACAACTCCGCGGCCTCGGCATTTCAGACAGACGGACTTCTATCCCCCGCGTGCCAGTGGGCAGTCGAACTTCGATGCACTCACCCACGCCCTCAAACCCGTTCGTTTCTCCCCTAGACTCTCCGCGGATAACAGAGCCTTCATACGTATACAATGGGGATGGGTTGGCAAGAGATACACCACGGATTGAGGAAGAACAAGATGTAACAAAGGGGAGGAATTCTCAGTTTACTGAAGAATTCAATACAGAAGAAGATGGAGGCAATAAGGGCATGGAGAATAATCATAGTCACAATAGTATGACATCCATTCTCCAACAAGCTGCGTAGCTAACGCATGGTAGACCACCTAGATTGCCCCTCGATAGAGCAGTTTTGTAAGTATATTCTTTTCCAAAGACCACTCCATTGTCTTTAAGCAAATATTTCAAGAATCGCTTACTGACCTTGAATTTAATACCTGCAGACTCGAAAAGAGCCAGCTGGCTTTCAATATCAATCCTCGGTCTTTCTTTATACTCCACCATCTTCTCTGGAATATGGTTAGTTTTGGCCATCGCACAACCTCGTTATGGTCGAAATATACGTTCTGGAGGCAGCTTCCCCCCATCTACTGCCTCTACTGTCTTTGCCCTCTTTGCGAAAACGATTGAACTTTCTTTCGTCACAGTTTTCGTCACATTCTTAGGCCAAGTACTAAGCCGAAGGTCCCTCGCCAAAAGTTCTCGTGGTATGACAATAGCAGAGATGACAATGCGGACTTGGGTCATCCAACCAGGATTTATGATTACGCATGGGCAGCATCTATATCATGTGGGAATTTCTTTCCTTGGAGCAATTACCTTGGTAGCTGCTTTCATCGCAATGTTTTACACTACAGCCTCTGATGCGCTGGTCTCGCCACATTTGAAATTCGGAGGATGGGAGCATAAGATGATGTATGGGTCGGTTCAGTCCAGTTATGCCAATCCAAATTTTATCAAAGCAAACTGCCAGACACCTATTACCGCGGTCATGGATCCAGTGGAGGGTGGTAATGAGTGTATAGCGCTGGATTACGCTGGTCAAGGTATGTGTTTTGAACTCTAACTTTCACTTACTGACTAGAACAGCTTATCACAACTCCATTGCTTATATGAGTACGTGGGCGGGCATCAGAGCAGCTGGAGGGACTTCTACGAAGCTCGCGAAGAGACCTCAAGCACCGGGTATGCTGTATGATAATACCACAGTCACGGGACGATGGATTTTAATCAACACGAGTGATATAAACGCGGCACATGAAAAGTACAACAGAGTAATCAATAACGTCAGCCTCGCAATGCCCCACGCCGGTATTCTTGCCGCCGCACTAGACCCAAAGAATTCCATCATTCAACCAGAAGACCTTGCTGGTGTGGGACAATACTCAATGAGGGCTTCGGTTATCAGCCCCGCCGTCAATGTAATGTGTGTCAACATGAACAAGACCGAGCTTAAACCAATAGTATACGCCGAGTGGGAACACGCGAAAACCAATTCAAGCAGTATACCAGGGCAAAAGGTAGCATGGTCTGGTTGGGAATCCGAACTTCAAGTTTTGCCCGGGCAAAACTACACCAACACAACTGTTGTAGATGATATATTTGAATGGGGCGAAAAGTACGGACGACAAACTCCGATTTTCCCAATGGTATGTCCCAAAATGCTCTTGGTAGCATATTCTGATTTTTGACAGCTGCCGATTGATTACAACACAATCACCAACATCAGCGCTGCTAACTACAGTGACTCTGTTTATCTTCTGGCCAAATCACCAAACATAACCGACTATACCCTGTGCCAGTTACGATCATTTGTGTCGCCTTCTTGCAGCACGTACTATAATGTTTCCGGTACCACAGGAGGGCACATCGAGGCACGTTGTGAAGATGAAGATGATGATATGGCGTACTCGAAATCAGTACCGGATGCACCGACCGTCAGAAGTTCCGATTGGCGGAATGTGGCTGCCCAGTGGATGCTGGCGACTTCGATGGATTCTGGAACTACCAATGCAAACGCATCAATCGCACGCCTACTGAGTCAATTGATCGTGCCAGCTTCAGGTGGTCTGAACAATTCACTGCCTAGCCTCGCGGAACATCTTTCAGTTATGATTGGCAGCACTCTACTTTCGAGTACAACTCTATCGAGTTATTATCACTATTGGGACCATACCGATGCCGAACTCACCGAGCCGGAATACAGACCATTCAACGCCTCGATAGTCTCACAACAGTACACTTCCGGATTCACCTCAAAATGGGAAGGCATATTCTACATTGTCCTGCTCCTCGTTTTCGCTACCAACGCTTTCTGCTTGGTCTATCTGTTCATGCGTTCCGGACTTGTGACCGATTACACGGAACCGCAGAACCTCTTCGCGCTCGCCGTTAACAGTCCGCAGTCACATGCCGTAGCTGGAAGCTGCGGGGCCGGACCAAAGGGAGAACAGCTGAATGTCAATTGGCATGTAGATCGGGCGGATAAATCTGGGCATTTCTTCTTCAAGAATGCGGGACGGGGAAATGGGAGTGTAAATGTTCCGCAGGATTTCGAGCTCAGGAAAAGACCGTCGGGGATTTCGAGGTCGTTGACTAGTTATAGTAGGTTGAGTAAGAAGAGGACTAGTTTTTTGTAGTATTGTACGAGTATGTAGATAGAAATGATACCCATGTTGATGAGCACGGATTGTTCATATCTCTCGCATACTGTCGCATCTATAACCATATTTTGATTGTCTTATAACTATAAGACATTTACGATATGCACCTAGACGTCTCGCTCTCGACATATGATTAGTCGGCGGTGATTTCACCAGAAATATCCCCCTCAAATTACCCTCCCTGCCATTCTCTACTAGTAGCTTGAGAGACTTCTCCTTGCATGCGTAATATAAACAAGCAATGCTGTCAATTTGGTCGCGTTGATTGTTAGTAGGTTAGGTCGGGATCCATCGAGGCAGGGGTAGGGCTAGCATAGCCTTATGAGCGACCAAGTGTAGATTCATCGTCTTCGTTGTGGTTATGTGGATACATAAATAGATCCGTATTTTCGGAATCCTATGGCATGGCATGTCAAACCCAATGATCATTCCCCCCTTCCCTTACGCCGGACAGAGGCGGCGCAATGGCTGGCTTGACTTCTGTCATTCGAAGCTGCTAAGCTATCCACACATTCCGAGTCAGCAGCATGGAATGGTCATTCTGGCCCTTCAAAATATGCTCTGCTGATTGTTCCAGGTTGGCGGCAGGAGCTCAGTAGTACACTGTAGATTGTGGTCTTGAACTGGGCGTCTACTATAGCCAAGCTAGTCGCAAGGAGATCAAACCTGCTATCATGAAGAGTGATGAGATGGCGAAGAGGTTCAATGCTATTGACAATGATGTCGGGTCGAGTTGTACCGGTGGGAACGGTGGTAGTAATTACGGTCGACGAGGCTCTTGGGAGTTTGCTGAATGTCGTTGCGCAGTGGGAGAAGAATATCTTTAGGAACAATTGACGCATGGTTTACCGTGGAAGTGATTCGTGGTGTGACCATTCCCTCGAATATGGTCATTGCCCTGAAGCTAGCCCAAGGAGCAAAGGCATGGGTTTACAGGCCTCGCAATCATTTGATCTTCTCCCGTGGAAATGCTGACAGACCGCATCCTTGGGATTAGGAACTTGTTGGCCTGTAGCTAATGGTATAAATGATTCATCAACTCATACATCGCAGTACTCAAGCTGCCGACCGTGAAGATGATGAGTTTGGCTGAAGAAGGTAGCAACTGGGTAGTTCTCTATTCGTCAAAGGGATAGATAGCTCTGGGTCATTACAAAAAAGTACTCCCTTCAACTGATCATCGATTATCGTTAATGCCTTGGACAAGGCTCTCTACCAGAATGGCCTTGGTATTCTCAACATCAAGGCTTTTCTGCAGTTCTTTCGATATAGAACTAGTAGAATCTTTCAACAGTGGCTCAACCATTCATCTAACCAACTATGTTATAGTAGAAAGGGAAGGAATTTGAGAAGAGAGTTTGTTGAGGATTTCATTAATAGTTGTAAGCTGTCGTGCCGTAGCCATAGGCTCAAAGGCGTTTTCGATAATCGTCTAGAAACAGTCCATAGAAGGTGGAAGTTGAAGTTGAGGAGAGTTAGTTGTATTCGAGGTTAAAATAGGTATATTACAGACTTGAAAGAACCCGAGATCGAACTATCGGAAGGTAAAGAATTGATGATATGATTAGATGAAACCGGTAAAGTCCTTCCTTGGCCTTTCCCAACAGAGCCATGCCATGGCATCCGCAAGATCCCTGGTATTTTCTAACAGAGCTATGGTCTCAAGCATAAACTCCTCGGTAGGTTTATTATCCAACTGCGCTAGTACAGCTTCTTCGACCCCTTGGAGATGTGCAGTATTCGAGTTGATAAGTAGCCCATTTGCGTGCGCCAAAGAGTCCGGAATCAACTCAGCCAAAGGGACTTTCTGAGGAAGAGCTTCGACCTTAGCTAAGATTTGGAATGAGCGGAGAATGTCCTAATGTAGATGGAACAATCAAACGCGAGCGACCGTTAGGAACCGTTGACAGAGGGACTCGTCGTTGAAGCGTAAGTCCCTGTCACGCAAGAGAGACGTGAGTCTGTGAAGCGGTCATGTAGTATATGTTAGGGAGGTCTGATGTCTAGCTAGCTAGGAAGGAAGGGCCTTGTGCTAGCGCCATATCACGTGTACGAGATACTCATCTCGTATACCCTAGTACGCAGATATAGGTAATATCTCAATCCATTTAATAGAGATAAAAATAAACTACCTCTCTAATAGCTCCTTAATATCCCACCTCAGAAAAACGTCCTTTAACCAAACGTGCCAGGATATATACGCATCCTACAGTCACACGACCCTACCTCACTCAGACACCCAGAAACGAAAAGCAATAGCATACAAGACATGATACTAGACGGGCAAAGGTAAGAGGAACTAAAAACAACAGTTCATTCCACATAAAATACGCGCCTTAATTTAACGTCTAGATAAAGAATCCACTAATCCTACATATATAACACAACATATTTTCTCTCGCTATAAGAATCTGAGTTCTGGTAGCTAAGAGGTGCTATAAAAAATCGCACGTTTAAAGAAACCTATCTACTTGGTGTAGCTCTTCTGCTGCTAAGGCAAAGCTGAAATTACTTACTATACCGGCGCGCTTGAGCACTGCAAGGCGAGGCTGAATGGAATGGAATGATTGGTGACACACACTGGTGCTGGTGTGGAGTGATGGTTGATTTGATTAATGGTCGAGTTGTGGCGGTTTGGCATGCGTGTCTGAGAGCGTGTGGGAATGCGAAGAGGAAATGCCGGGGGGATGGAATGGGAATAACCTCTTCGCATCGGAGAGTCTCCTCTCATCTTAACTAGATATCCAACAACCAATGCAACCACCAAGACCCTAAACTACGGACCTACAGCTATAGTGAGGTAATCACCTTGTGAGACCAACTGAAACAAACGGTAGAATCTCAAGCTAAGCTGGAATAAGTTTGTTATGAAAGATACAGATGAAGAGCGTTTGATGAACATTTATATTAGCTATTGGGTATTCGCTTCTATCCACGTTGTGTAATCATCGCAAGTTTTCGATGTCAAGGCAAGCCTTCGCATCATATTAATCAATCTCATCGATTTTCGCACTTTCCATCATATGCCACCAGTCTATTTACAGATTCACATCTACCCATGTTCACAAGAAGAAAGCAGCGAGACCACCGAAAATAGCAGCAAAGCTCATGCCAACGGCAACGGCACCTGACTTGCTAGTAGAGGTGGAAGAGGAAGACGGGCTTGTGGTGGAGCTGGCGGTAGAGCTGGCGGTGGTGTTTCCGGCAAGAGTAGCATTGGCGACTGTTGGCTTCACGGTTGTACCGTTGTACATGTCGCAGGTTGAGTTAACAGCCAATGCGCAGGTCTCGTCAATGCAGATGCTCTGAAGTTGAGGGCCTTGCGACATGATCACAGCGGTGGGTGGGGCGCACTTGACATCAAAGGTGCTGCTTAGGGCCTTGCCAACGACGGTGAGGTCGTCTTGGGCGACACCGAAAGAAGCAGCGGACATGGCGACTTGCTGGATGAAGTATCCGACTTCAGCAGCAGATAGATCCATGAATCTGTTATGGTTAGTGGGGATTCACATCCATGGGAGAGGGAACATACTTGTGCACGCTGTACATGGATTCGTGTCCAGTGTAGCCGGGGTAATCACCACCACCCTGCATGGAGCATCCAAGGAGGACGCCAAAGTACTCGTACAAGTGAGTAATGAGAGTGCTGGATCCTGTTAGATGAGCCTGCATTGGAATTGTGTGGATGTACTCACTATTGGTTGGAAGTGTTGTCCATGGCTGGCATGTTCTTCATCAGAGGAGCAGCTCCACCACCGTCAAGGAAGTTGACCGAACGACCAACGCTGCCTCCAGTGTTTGTGGAAGCAAGGCCACCGTTGAAGTATGGGGCGAGGTTGACCGCAGTGCCGTTGTACGTGCCCTTTGCGAGAATACCTGGGACAGAAATGCCGACATTTGGCTTGGTGTCTACGACTCGTTAGGAAAGACTTTGAAGCTGTGAGTGAAGGGAAACATACAGTTACCAATAACGGCAGTGTTCACAACGAGAGTCAAGAGAGTCATCTGGTTGGCAGCAGTGTTGTTGGTCAACAGAGCAGTGGTGTAATAGTCACAGATGGAGGTGTTTGAAGGACGACCATCAGCAGCGACACCAACAGCCAGCACAGCGGCGGCGGTGGTGGCAGCAGCAACAGTCTTGAAGAACATGGCAGCGGTTTTCAAGGTAGTTTCAAAGATAGTTTTCGTTGGAAAGAAGAGTGATCCTTTTCACTGTTGTCGGTGAATGTTGAAAGAAAGTGTGTCAATGTCAATGATTGATGAGGAGGAAGAAGAAGAAGAAAGAAGCGAGGGAACGTGGGAGAAGGAAGAGAGGAGCTTTTCTATCGCCGGAAATGGGATCAAAGGAGAGGGAAGCGAAAGGGGTTCCTTCATGTTGCCTGGTATGCCTAGACATTCCCGAATAGGAAACAACGCAACAAGTCGACCAACCGCTTCTTCTCAAACCGGTTTAGACGAGTCATAAATCAAACAGCCATCGATCAAATCCTCTCTTCTTGATTGGTCCTCTTCTGCGGGCGTGCCTGGATTAGTTCGGCATCGCACCCTCCCGAGGGGTTGTTTAGAGTCTAGACGAGCTTGGAGACTGCGCCTAAGGCTGGGGAGGTCCGCATTGAGTCCAGTGTCACCATCTGGTACCTGACTTGGTATTCTCCGATATGAAATTGGACTCTCCTCATTGGTGAGCATGACCCGCAGTGCAGAGGTTATCTTGACGTTGGATTCAATTCATGGAGAGGCACTAAGGTGTACTACAAAGAAAAAGCTGCAAGAACCCAATTGGGAATCATGATCATGATGTCATGTGTATAGGCAGACCCCTTTATCTGACCATCTAATACATCAGATGAAAACGGGCTCAAATGTTTATTTACATCTCTCTCGAAACATTCCCACCCATCACACTGTTTGCTATTCCATGCTTGACCATGCCATGGGCCTGCACGGTCCAACTCCACTCGTCATGGGGACAAGGATCTCGCAAATCCCTCCCCTCTGATTCGCCACCCAGATTTAAGCTTCCCCCGCTAGGGGTCTGACAACCGATCGCCCGGAAGATGGACCTTCCGTGTCAACTAACTGAACGACGAATTCACTTCTTTTTTCTTTCTCTTCAACTCGGAATGAGGAGCTGAAGGGGAAGAGGACTGCTTTGGCCGATGTTTCCGAGATGGGGTTACTATACCTACTATACCTGGGTAATGAAGTAGATAAATCTCTAAAAAGGTAATCATAGCATGATGCTCACAAAGACGAGATAGTCCTCGCCACGTGAATCCGAGAAGAGCGAGCGAGCGAGAGAGCGGGCTTGTACGGGAACATTGGCCGCGGAGAAATAAACTACTGTAGGTACCCAAGAGCCAAGGTAGGTAAGCCATGTGCAACCTAAGTCTGTAGCGTGTGCTATATATGGTTGCACAGTGCACACTATGATACACGGCTGCCAGATATCTCGTTTGCAGTAGGCATAGTACATGCAGTATAACACAGCCAGTACATTATCCTCGTCGCATATGGCAACTTGGTAATCTGTATAGTTATTTCTACTTCTAGGACTTTCATGTCCTACTGTACCTACCTATCTATGCAGAAATCTCCCCCTTTATACACTTCTCCAGCTCACCTTGTAATAATCTTTTGCATAGTTTATGGCAACTTATTAACCTTCTAACTTTAGCTCGTTCTACCTTCTCCCTCTACGATAACAACCTTACTTCTCACATCTTATAAACTTCTACCTCGTCCACCGCGTTAACATTTTCTCCTCCATAGGACTAGCTTATGCTATAGGAGGAAATCATCTATGTACACTAGCGTTCAGTCAGTACTGGCCCGTAATAACACTTGCATTTAAAGTTATGCTATGGAAGTCAACTTTTGCTCTCCTTCATATGACTATGTGGCTAAAAGCACATGAAGGCTGCGTGCACCAGGGGGGCTAGTCTAGACTATTCTTTATAGAAGTAAAGAGAGAGAGAAACGGTTTATAAGTATATAATAAATAGGTCAAAGATGAGGAGCATACCAGTAGTATATAGCTATCGGAGACCCTTGAGCTGCGCTGATCCCGTGACACCACATGGTTGAAAATTCCACTACAGAGCATAAAGCAAAGAGACTTACTCGTATCATGTTAATGCTATTACATTGTAATTATCATCCGTCGTAGCTCCATAGTAAAACATAGGAGCCACATAATATTTCCCCAGACCTTTTTCTGCTAACAAACAATCTATCTCGATGTTGACTGGCTGTGTCGAGACCCTTCCTGCGTGATCGCCGATCGGACCTCCTGCAGGTGATAGTTCAGGAATACTTGAGGATCCTGATATTTTTCATAATGAAGATATACTCGTGTTTACTTTACCCTTATTCTTATCTAATCATATAAAATTTAATCAAAATCGCACGTTATTATCCCTAATAACAATTCCCGGTTGTGTGGTTTGTTGTACAATGATCGCCAAAGAAGCGAATGCACTCTAACCTGCTGGACGCTCGTCAACCGCGAGTTGTACATATACCTCCGCTCCTATGCCCTTCTCCTACCGCCCTCGCTGTCGCATCCTTTGACATCTCCCATACTCTGATTGTATCCTATCATCATCACGTTCGCAATTGATTGACGACACGGCCCCACAAGCAGCCATGCCGACCAACACATCCTGATACAAGTACTTGCGGGCCATGAAAGAGACCACCAGCGCCATCAATCACCTATCCTTCGCTCCCAGTATCATGTTCCAATCTTCTCCACCCCTTCCAGGACCGTCACTCATTTAAAGGACCTCCAGCCATGCGCTGAAATCAACACCAACCCGCAAATACTAACCAAATAGCTTACAAACCATGGATTCCCCCGTACCATCAACAATCCTCTCACCAACCACCCCCCGAATGAACCCAAGAGTACATCCCCCCTCTCGCCCCTCTTCTCGCCTCTCCAGCCGCGAACGGCATACAGACGACATCCTCACCGACCTCACCCCCTCCACGACCTTCGAAGCCTTCACAAGCCCCTCGGGCAAGCTGCGCGCCAGCATCGAAGCAGCCTCCCAATCCGAGCGAGCATTTGGCATCCGCGCTACCCTCGCATCAAAGAAGATACAAGAATGGGTCAACGAACTATCAGGCTGGCCATGGCCTGTGGAGAGCGGTTCCGCCGGTTTCGAGATGCCCGCCGCGAAACGCAGGAAGATATCAGATGAGGCGAATGGTAGTCAGGAACTGGAATACAGGGGCAGTCTGCTTACGGCAGATGCTCTACAATATGAGGCTCGACTGGAGGAAATTACAGGGGATATGGAGGATCTCCATTTTGAGGAAATCAAGCGGCAGGTTCTGGATACGCATTTCTCGGCCAAGTCTCGACCCTCGTCTTCTGCTTCTAGTGCGCCCATGCCGAGTTTCCTCTCTTCCTATACAAAGATGGACGATTTTACCGCGATTGTTACAGCTACTGTTCTACAAGCCCTGCCGAATCTGTCAAGACTTATGCGCCTGATGGAGGTCTGGAATATACGATTGGCGGTATTGCAGAAAGTCCCTCCGCTTCTGACTGCGCTGGATGATACGGAGGTGGCGCTGAAGTCTGGCTGGAGTGCTATGCAAGTCCCCGACAATCACGACCACGACAGTGAAGGCGCCCAAGCCTTGTCACGGGATACATTCAATGTCATGAAGAGTGTACTGCAAGATAAAGTAACCAGTCTGGGTCAAGACCTAGATTACATGCTCGATACGTTAGAGGGTCGGCCAGATACGCTGCCTGATAGCTGGCTAGACCGGATGGAAGCTATCGAGCAAGATTATGGCGAATGGGCTGTCGCTGGGGACAGGAGAGTTCGAGAAGGAGAGTGGGCTAGAATGGCGAAGGCGCGGAAAGAGGCCGAAGATGCGCAGAGAGCAAAAGAAGCCGAAGAGGCTGAAGCGGCGAGGCTGAAAGCCGAAAAGGACGCAGAAGTCGCCAGGATACTAGCAGAAGAGCAAG